GTTGTGATGGACCTGAACATGTCCGCCACGCCTTTGATCCAAGTACCAAGTAAGCCTGGGGCATCCTTTTCAGGTCCGGTGCCGAACGAAACCTTTTGGCTCGGTGAAGGGTTCACGAACCGAACGTGGCGCTCCTGGCCTTACTACTAGGAACAAGGACGCTACTAGGAAAAAACAAGGACAAACCTTTTGGGTCTGTGAAGGGTTCACGGAATTTTCCCATTCGCTGCTCTTCGACTTGAGCCAACCTAAAGCAGTTATGTCAGTTCTGACTGTGCAGCGATACTGGCCCAAAAGCCTCCCGAAACAGCACAGAAGTGACCACAACAGTATCAAGTGAGCTGAGACCGGGCATTTAGCTGTCAATCCTTCGCGACAAGAGCGACTCGCGGATTCAACTTTCAACGGATGCCCACAAACATGTCATGGTCTTCACTGAGTCTTCACTCATCCATTCTATCTCCTCTCTTACGGCATCATTTGCTCGCTTCTCTTGACAACGACCGTGGCCACCCCACCTGCCTGGGATGGTGGCAGAAGCGGCAAGCAAGGAGTCGCACACTCGGGTTCAGAATCGGTGTCTGGCCAAGGTTCTTCGTTCCCATCTTGGCTGTCAGGCTCCTGCGCCAAGGCCAAGCTGGCATAGCAATTGGGTTGAAAACATTGGGCGCACCCAGGCAATCTATGGGTTTTGTCAGCATCTGATTGATCGCATTACACTGGAAGCTGGATTATGCTGGACTGCCCTGATTTCGGACATCAATTCGCCCTCCAAACCCTGGAAGCCAGTCTTCCCAGCAGTCTCCCTCCCTCAAAGCTTACTGGGCACTATGAGGAACCGGAAGTGCTGATCAAAGTAATGCTCACTCGTAATTCATTTGCAGTGGACTGCTGCGACGCCCCTCGATGTACTCCAACAGCCACTTCTCATCTCACTATGCGCAGGAAAAAAAGCGTGTAACACACTGCCTCTGAACACACCACCCGGGGGCCGGCACCGTTCGTAGCAAAAATCCGTCTCGGGAGGCCGGAAACTCGAAGGGCCTTGGTCACGTAGCGTGGGGGCGCCTGGGTGTGCTCGGTTTGCTCGCTGCCCGAGTGTTCGCTCAAGAGGACTGCTGCTTTCGCCTGGGTCGGCATCAAGGCAGGTGATGTGAGTGATCCAAAGAAAGTGAAGTGAAGTTGGATCTACTTTCACATGTGGGCCTCGTTATGAAAAAGCATCCAAATTGGAATTTTTTGGAGCAAGACAGTCATGCTTGGAAGTTAGAAGGGCAGTCGAGCGCGGAGCACCCACCCCCGGACACCGGCAAAACAACGATCTGGTACACCTCTTGCCACCTCTTGCCACTCCATTTGATACATGTCTGGGCCCTGCAAACACCACTGTTGCCACCTCTTGGTCACCGAGGAAGCTTACGGAAGCCGGCGCCTGCTACCTCATGTCGAAGCCTGCGGAAGCTTACGGAAGAACACCTACGGAAGCTTAGGGACCTTAGGGTTTAGGAAGCTTAGCACAGCTTAGGGACCTCATCCATGCGATTGTGTTCATGACATGAAGTTCCGATGTCTTCTTGCCACACGCAGCTGTCAGGATGCCTGTAAGACTTAGACCAAAAGGGTTTTGCCACACCCCTCCCGACCAGTATCCACCAGTCAATTGCTTGCCCAGCTGCATCCTCCGCATACTGGTATGGCACGTACCCTGGGAAGCTTGCGCTGCGGCGCAGCTTGGGCCTGAGATGCGCGCTGGTGTGGACAAGTAGCCAGTGGGACCCAAACTCAGAGGAAACAGTGACTTTGCCAAAGCCATGAGCCACTAAAAAAGGAAATTTGCACCAACTCGGGGAGCATTAGCCCACCACACCAACTACACGCGCTGTCCAAGGATCAGGATATTTGTTCGAAGTTCAAAGTTCAAATGATGTGTTTCGTGCTGTGCCGCAGTCTTTGCAAAAGAATAATCCCGATGATCTCGAGCAAGAAGGGAAACAACATGTCCAGCCATTTAAAACTCCTGGAAGACGTGAAACAAAGCGAAAAACACGAAATCGAAAAATTCCAACTCTGAATGGTGTCGTGCTTTTTCTTGTTTTAACATGGGACACCTCGCCACCTTTTACTTAGTTAAACAAAGACTAAGGACATCACCCCATAGAGCTCCTGACATCACCCCGGAGGACGCCATGCTGACATCACCCCCTATCGCGTCGTCCCGTCGTCGCTCCCAGTCGCTGACCAGGTCCTCTTCTGACCCCTTTCTTCTCGCCCGACGCACGTGCTTGGGTCCTCGGAGTCCACGAAGACGCTTGTTAAAGGCTTCAAGCGTGGTTCAAAGGCTTGCATGGTGAGACGAGACACTTGGAGAAGCGAGACAGAGAAGTAGCTGCTAAAGCAAGCCGAAGTAGCTGCGGATGAAAGGCATCCTGCTTGAAACACCCAAACACAATGCTCAGGTGCATCAATGGACCAAAAAACAAACAAAACACAACAAACAAACTAGCATAGCAGAGCATAGCATAACATAACAACTCAGAACATAACATAACAATACACTACACGACACGAAATCCCATTGCATTATATGCATGACAAACATACAAATATATAGAAACATGCAATATATAAAGTATATACGTTTTTTTTGCTTTTTTCGGTGAGGGTGACCGTGCTCTATCTCTGTTGGGTGGGAAAAGCATGGGGGAGGTTTGGGAAAAAGAAGGGGGAGATTTGGTAGAGGTTTCTGATATTGCAGTGTTGTTTTCTGTTTCTCATATGGGCATTTTTCGCTGCCCTCCGACCGCCTCCAACTTGCGATCTTGGCAATGTCTCGGAGCCACACGAGTTCACGGTCTCACGGGGTCGGTGTCACCACGAGTGTCACCTCCAACATGTGCACTACCTGGTCCTTCCACTGTTCAGCTTGGAAGAGTTCTATATATTATGCTTGTGCGGTCGCCGGTGTTGGGAACATTGGAACACTCAAACCACGGTTTGAATATACATTGGGGTGTCTGCAGCTTATGCACTTATGCACATTGTTACTCTTGTGAGTGGGGAGCAAAGCACATGTTCCGCAAGCACATGTTCCTTGTGGCCTCCTTCACTCCTTCGCACTGGCTTCACAAAGCCCCGCTCTGGATGTCGCATGAATTCCGGGGATCACATGATGCACTTGGGTGCGTTAGAAGACGCAGTGGGTCTGTTTGGGTCGAGGAGTCGAGCAAGAAGCTACTGGGTTGGAGGCCATCGCTTGTACGTTGGAGGCCATTACTATTGGGTCGGAGGCCATCGCATCATAAGTATCATTCAGGAAATATTCCAGGTGGACTGGCCCACCATGAGTCCGGCTTGGCAGTTGGCCTTGTGGATGCGCGTTTTTAGCGCAACCATGCATGTCCAGGATCCTAGATTTCCCAACACCAACATGAAGAAAACATAGGTAGTAGTAGCAGCAGCAATCCACAATCGGCAATCCGTATACTTAAACCGCACCAAGGATTAAGGATTGATTTTGAACTGCTCCGAAAAAGAAAATCCCGCTGAGACGTATGAGCCGTGTCATTTTCCCACACGGTCCAAGTTGATTCCTTAAACCCATGGAAAGCCGCCATGGAAAATCAGTCCGGCAACCGCCATGGAAAGTCTGTTTTTTCCCGGGCCCACACCATCCAGCGGAGCAGGGCACTGCACTCGCACTCCAGATCTGCTCTCATCCCGTAAGGACTTCTCCACCATTGGGCGGAAAGAGAGTCGTCACCGTCGTCTCTTGGACTACCGGGCGAGGTGGAGAGAGGGTCAGTGGACTGCCTGGTGAGTGGGGCTTTGGTCAGTCAGAATCCGAAGAGGTCAATCCACTGTTGGCCTGGGGACATGTCTTGGAGTAAAGTGATTGTTAGATATCTTAAGATATCTTAAGAAGGTGATAGGGGGTGATAGGTGTCCCCATCTCCTCAATACACGTTCGCAAATCTGAGAGGTGAAGCAAAAGCCTTGCACCATGACACCTGCTAAACCACCCAGAGGCACTTGCAGGGTCTTCGCTACAACGACCAATATCGATACACTGCCACATACAAGGGTTAAATACTACCGTATGTTTACAGGTTGGGAAACATTCATTACATAGTCCATTTTCCTTGCAAATGTCATCGTGCACATGTCACCGAACTTGGTATTCAGCAGGTGGTTCAAAGCAGTGGCTGGTATTTGGGAGCTTTGGGGCCCATGTTTCTTCATTAACATCGCCCATGTGCTCAAGGTGGTTTTTGAAGTCACATCACCAGCCCTTGGCAGTCACATCAAGAGAGCGAGAAAAAGATCAAGCCATGTGCATGCAGGCTGAGTCCGTTCGGACAAATGAATCAACATTTGGGCTGCTTGTTTTTTGCGTCCGACCTGCCAAAAGCTGTACATGGCAGTGACTGGACTTGGGGCTTCTCCAAGAGGTCCTTTACATCTCGTGACCACAAAGAGATTTGGACACAACATATTCATAGCATGCATCTTTGTTGTATTGCAAAAAAGCTCATTTTTATGTTATCAAATGTTGAAAGGGTATGGTTTGTAGGCTCCACATATATAATATAATGATGTATATATATATATATTTACGTATTTACTTCACTGAGCTCACGAGCATCTAACATTTGATGTTGCATCTTTTCGAGCTGAAATGTCCTTGCTGAGCAATCCCAACGGTGGTGGACACGGCAGCTCCGCGTATCCGTGCCATCGTGGACGACTCCCACTGATGGGTGGTTACTATGTAAGACCACTGCTTGGTAGAATCACTGGTGCTCACCGGGAAGTATTGACCCAAGACCCAAGGTTTTGTATTCACTTAAGCTTGGATGAACCAAAGCTTAGGGCCACCAAAAAACTGTACTTGAACCCATTGAAAATCAAAACTATGACGATACGTCTGGGCTACGTCGGTTGCTCTCACTCCTGCCAACCGGTGCCCACCATGGATGCTCAAGCCGCTTCGTCCCAACGACTCAGCGCTCTGCTGTCGACTGATCAGCGAAGAATTTCCTGAGTTGAAACAATCCCAACATATCCCAACGGTAGACTCGGCAGACTCCCAGCTTACTAGAAACCTCAGACAAAGTTTGAATAGGTGTGATTCGGTGGTATGATTCGATCGGGTGAATCAAGGTGTGATTCAGGGGTACGATTCGCCAAAGTAAGATACAAGTCCCTGTGTCATGTTTGCTTTAACTTCAATTTGAGTTTTCCCTCTACTGTTCTAACGCCTCAGAGGGAGAGAGAATGGAACGCGTGCGGACCCCATTCAGGCCCTAAGGATAAGATACTGTATGTATCAAAACTATGTATAACTTACATAACCCCAACTGTGGCTTTCTGGGCAATGTGGCAGCTTCTAATCTTGCGAGTTGGCCTCGAAGCATCGAGGCTCTTCGGGTGGGAACCCCACAGATCTTCCCCGTTGGACCACGAAGAATGCCAGCCCCATCTGTGACGGTCCTTCGGCCACCTGTGGGATAGACGGTCCTTCGGTTGCAGTTTTTCGGTATTGAACTCCTTACCTTTCGAGAATGTGTCTTGAAGAACAACTCTAACCTCTTTCAGGTGCCACTTTGCTGCTCAACCTCCAATTTGGCGGATCATCTGTTCCCAAATTGCCAATTTGTTCTTTGTTTAATTACACTGCTATAGACCTGTCTGTTTCTTCGTTTATAAAATCAAACACAAAAAAAAATGCGCCTCCGCTTTTCCCCTACCCCCAAAACTCAAAACCGACTCCCCTTCCCTACCCCCTTCCCTTCCCCCCATTACCTCGTGACTTCGACGGTGACCAAAGCGGCTCCGGCATGGCCGTCATGGACTCGAAAATCCCCGCCTCCGGGCGTCGCATGACCGCGTCGGCGGGTGTGTACACTTGAGGGAGGGTAGCGCGCAAGCGCGGGACACTTGGGGTGGTCCGGCATCCCGGATCGTTTCGGAAAGTGAATCCTGAAAAACGACATGAAATCAAACACATTCAAACACATGGCCCTTTTTCCGACCTGCAGATTCTCACGCCCCGGTGTCATCGTGGCTGGGTGTCTACGATCATGAGCTGGCATCGTGCTTCATCAGATATTCGCAATGTTCGGCCCACCCAAATCTCATCCAAGACTGTCTTCCTTGCGCCTTCCATCACTTTAATATAAGTTATGCAGCTATGCACCTTCGATTCAAGAATGCGACTGTCTGTTTTTCCCCTTCCTCTCAACCTTCTCCAAGAGTTTCTGGAATGCCTCTTTCTCTCTGTCTCTCTCTCTCTCTCTCTCCAAAAATTGTATCTGCTGGGCTAGAGATGCATCGTGATACACCTTGCCGAGCATGTTGGCTCGTCGTGAGAATGCGAGCGTGATATTACTCAAAATATCTCAAAATATTGGCATCATCATTCTCTTCTAAAGACACCATGCTTCATTTAAGTGCGGTGCACATGTCCCAGTCGGGCGCTCGTTTTCTCAGGTTTTCTCAGACTTGGTAGATGTGGCAGACTCGACGTGCCACTCAACGATGAGATAGCAACATGTGACTTGGCAAGCCTGCTAGACCCAAAGGACTACTCATGTTCCCTCGTGATGACAACCTGTGACTATCTGTGACTTGGTGAAAAAATAGGGCGATGAAAATTGCTCTCAGTGCCAATGTCCGAGCGAGATTCATAGCGGAAGGGGTGCTACGTTCTGATCCCGGGACAGTGCACCTTTCTTTGTTCACGTATGTCAGCAAGTCCTCTCTCTTTCGAGGTCGCTCGGGCATCTCTGTATGCGGCTTGTGCCCCGCCTCATAGTTTTCCTCTAAAGTGTCCAAAACTGAAATGCAGCAATCGTAAGGCCAAATTTGCCCTCCACTATGCAAAGCTTGTGAGCATTTACGTGGTAACGGAGCCCAACACAAAGAGAAAATTGCGAAAGGCCACGTGCCCAGGTTTCCCAGTCGCACAGCTTGACCCGAAGGAGCATCACTGGACCAGCTCAGCCGTGATCGCCGCCGGCTCGAACATCAAGATGTCATGCCACATTCCACGTCAAAGTTGCTGCAACATCCTTACTTGCTTTGGTCATCCGGTCTGCGCAATGTCCAGGCCAAGCGGCGTCTCCGCGGGCGCAGTTGCTGAGGGCCAGTGCAACTTTACGCACGAACAGCGGAGACGCAACATGTGGGCAAAGAGCTTGTCCTGTTGGTCTTGGATGACGCACTGGATTATGGGGTAGAGGGTATATGTTTTCCCATTTTTCTACCCAGTACACCACTAGTGGAAGTGTCGAGGTGGCTGGCCACCTCCGCACAGCTCTCTCGGAAGCAGGGGGTCCTTCCCAGTGCAAAGTTGATGGCCAGCATCCCCTTCACCTGGCCGGCTCTCCTTACGCCTTCAATCTGTCCTTGGCTGGTCGACATGGAGTTTCTGCTTTCAGAGGTCGCTTGCGGCCCCAGAAGAGATGGCAATCACAACATCTCATATTTGTCAAAAGAGAAACATGCACTCCGGCCCCCAGTCGAAGCTGGCAGGTTGACCGGTCAACGCAGCTGGCCAGACTCCAAACAATCGCCTAGTCTTCGCTAGTCATAAGCAAACCAGGTGCGTTTTTTTCGATAATATACGAACTTGTGCACAAAAAATCAAGTCTTTTGATGTCGGTTGATGTCTTACCAGAGTCACCTCTCAGATCTCTATCGAACTCACACTTCAGCAACACACTGACACACTCCGCTTAGAGAGATGAACAAGCTGGAGAAGCAAGAGCTGAAAAAAGCCCGACCTCCCCCCATCTCCGAAGAATTGCCGCACCAACGCCACGCCCTCCCACGCCCCAACGCCATCCAACGCCTCGCTGCGCCTGCTCTTCGGGGGCAAGGCGGTGATCAACCTGATGCAGCAGAAACCGACTTCCACATCCATTTCCCTGTAACTACTCTAAGAATCGAAGACCTTCAAAGGTGAAGGTTTTTGAGGGTCCAAACCCCTGCGATGCCAGGCAGGGTCAAGACATGTCAAGACCCTCCATAGGAGGGTCCAACGATGGTTAGTTTAACGTCCATCCGGCGAATTTACATGGATTTACAACTTTTCTTTCGACATGGCCAGTGATGTCTATGAGCTTTTCCAAATACTGCGACTCTGTATCAACTCTAAAGAGAACCAAACACCCACTTGGGGTCGCCACGATCATCACCATCCATAAGCAAAGACTTGGGCAGCCATCGGTCTGAAACACTCATCATCTGTATATAAAAGACGTGACAAAACTTCGAAAACCGGGGATCCATCTTCAATGTCGAATCTTGGTGTCCCGGCGGGACAGGGAGAAAATGACCACTGGTTTACCTATACCTATTACCTAGCAGAGCCCAAGATGTCCAACCACCAAAAAGGACCAAGAGTTCTAAAAATAGAACATCAACTGTGATCTTGCTTCCTCTGGCCTCACCCCTCACGAACCACCGGCCGTTTTTTCCACACAATTTCTTTGGAACGTTCTTCCACACCGTTTCTTGCCACAAGAAGAAAACAGCATCACGTCCCACGTCACGTCCCACGACACTGGTCTCCCATCACCGACCCCCTGCGGCCGCCGGGCGGGACGCACTTCGGCGTCAGCTCGGCTCCCTCGGAGCCCGAGGAGCCTGGCGAGAAAACGGCGGGCTTCCCAAGCGCGGCGGGCGTTGGAAGAGCGGAGCGGTGGTTCATTGGAGGCGGGAAAATCATTGTTTTGACCAGCCAAAGGGGTCAAAATGCGTCAAACCATATGAGCTTTCTACATCTTTCTACATGTTTTTGCCAAAAAACCTGGAAAAAGTGCCAAAAGAGCCCGAGGGCTCTTTTGAAGGTCTGATGAGCCAAGTTGCTGTGGCTAAACACATGGTAAAGAAGTGGTGGAGGTGAGCATTTCTGCAAGCCATTCGCGGAGAGGAGTCGAGTGCATTTTGAAGGTGGATGTGGTTGTAAGCCCACCACATCCACCCTGAAATGGCCCACAACATCCACATCCCCTTCCTAATCCCCCTGATCCAAATCCATTTGGCCCAGCTGAGCCCCAAAAAGGGTGGGCCTCTCACACGGTGCTAAAGTGCAGTGTGAAAGAAAGCCGTCCAGCCGCAAAGGGGGATGAGAACTTCTCGTCAACAGTGGGAACGAATAAATCCATCCATGACACCCTGATACCGAAAGCCTGGATACCGAAAGCTGAACTTGTGGCCGTGCTCCACACGCCGGAACCCCCAACCTTGGTAGGGGCCTGCACCTCAGACTTCACCTAAAAGCCAAAACAAGCACACATGCAACGAATAAATAAGAAGTAGAAACTATATATGTTTAAATAGAGTTCCGAGTGGCACCGGTTAGACATAGAGATCTTTTTTTAGCAATCCCTGTGAAGGTGAGTCCGCCGTGACACGACGTCCCGAGAAACACACGTCCTTTTCGAAGGTGCGACCGACGTCCCATGGGGCGCGCCTTCGGAGATGGTGGGTAGCCCAGCCTCTGTCCTTCGCAGCCACTCATGGGCCAGTGCTTCCTAGGAGGCAACCACCGACGGCTCAAGGACGCAGTGTAATGGTTACCATGGTACTCCAAGAACCACTGGATACCACAGCGACCTCGTGTGTCAGGAGGTCCTGACGCAAGCACTCTCGCCTCACTCTATCAGCAAAACCGCATTTCACCCAATCACCACGGTGATGTGCTGAAAATTTTGAGATCGGCGTGTGAGGCTGTTGGGGTTTGCGGGTCTCGGTTTGCAGAAAACTGGTCTATGACCTCGAAATCATGATGGTCACGGTGGAAGACCATCTCAAGACGACCTAACTTCTGCCTCCTAAACTCAAAAAACATTTTTGCCAAGAGTCACTGGTCGTAAGGCGGCTGCGGTATTCTTTCTGCAACATCCCCTCAAGGGCGAAACAAGCGCATTGAATCGGTGGAAAGGGGGTGGCTCAGCCTCAAGGGCTTCCCCCCTTGGGCAGTGAGACTGGTGTGAGACTGTGGTCATCAACATGAAGCGAGCGCATTGGGAGAAGGGTCTGCATCTCTGTGCCGAAAATGATGCCTGCACAAGTGTTCAAAACCTCATAGCGCGAAGGATACCCGACTGTGAACAGCACGCGCATTTAAGCCCCCGAGAAGCCCTTGCAAGAAACATGCTTGATCAACCTGAAAACAACCAACACAGCTAGTCTGCTAACTGTTCAAACAACTGTGGGGCCTCAGCCCGCTAGACAGTTGAACGTATCTTTCAGCCAGCCAGTCCATCCTTGTCGTCGCCCAGCGGCGATGAAGGCAACCATGGAGGGTTTGAGGACTGGGATCGTGTAGAGTTAATCACGAGTCTTCCCAAATCTCGCCAGGATGTCGTTCATGACTTAAAGGCCGAGCAAACAAATGTCACAAAGAAAACGACATATCCTCTCATCCTTAACTTGCAAAAGATTACCAACGGTTCGGTCCAAGGCTTGTGCTTGGTACTGAGCCTCTCCACCTTATACCCAAGCTTTGTTCAGAAAACCAGGGAAGCCTGTGAACCAACAGCAGGACGCCAGTCTGGTGCTCAAACCACTTGGATTTGCTGGTCATTTGCAAGGTCCGAAAACCACATCGGGGAAAGTTGGGAAAGGTCCGAGCTGCAAAAGTCCAGACCGAAAACAAATCCCCACACACCTATGGGCCAGTTGGATGTAGTACCACTCTCTTAGTACCACTGCATTGAGCTTTTTTCCAACTTCGGGGACCTCCCTTAAGAATGGCGATCACTCAGTGGTGTTCCATGGTTCCAATGGCTTCCAATGGCGCTTTCTGCCTTCCTTCACCAACCGAAGGCGCCTTTAAGAACTCCTTTGCTTGTTCAGACGTGTTCGTCCAAGCGTTGGATTCGAAGGACAGGTCGTTGTTGCCTCAGAGTCGACCGACTTTCGGATCGGACAGCCGTGAGGCCCAAACAAACCCACGCCTGCTGAGTGACTGATGACCAGGGGCCCGAACCAAACCATGAAAAAAAGAGGTGTTCACATACCAAAACCCGTTTTTTAATTGTCTTTTGCTAGGAAAACCGGTTTGTGGGGCCCCTGGTAGGCCATGTGGGTTAATCCACTTGGGCTTGGATGACGCGACTGGCTGCTATCACCGCTGGCTGACTAAATCCGAGCAATGTTTGTCTAGGCCTGGCTCCTCCAGCTGTGACCGCTATAGATCTATAGACATCCAAATACCCCAAGTCATGACCTTCACCTCTTCCGCGGCCGACCTCGCGCAGGATGTGCAGGATGAATGAACTCGGGTCGACCAACGACGACGATTACGCAAAAAGAAATCTGAAAGGATCTATTTTGGTGTACCCGACATGTTGTCACCTTTTGAGCAGACCCAAGTTGAACGACTATGCCCCCCTGCAGACTAACATGGACCGTGAAAATGGACCCTGTAAGCCAATTTTCCTCTACCACCCAGTGGTTTTCAGGGTCCAGGTTCATCTGCAGGGATCCCTTCCCATCTTGCTCCCGTCGACCAGACTGCCAGACCGCCCGGCTCCTCGTCTGGGGGTTCCGCGCGAACGGCGGATTTCGGAGCCTTGGTCTCCATCAACTTAAAGGGCACCTCCAAGCCTCGGCTGCGTTTGCTTCACGGCGTTGGCCTTCACCAGACACATGGTCCGACGGCGTGGTCCCCGCAAAGAAGCTGGTCACCTTTGAAAAAGGCTTTGGAGGTGAACATCAGGGAGATTCAGGGCGTCAAGCTATAGCTTTTGGATGGTTTTAGATGATGCTTGTTTGTCCTCTTCCAAGTCTTTTCCCCTCGTTTTGGTTGTACATCTGACCAACATGCGCCAACAAAAACGCGCCGGTCAGCACAAGAAGTATCGACACAGAGGCACCCTGCTGGTGACGATGTAAGACACGATTCCCAGACTCCAGACCTCAGGACGTCAAACGGCCCCCCACGGCTTGGCCATGTGGCCATGCGGCCATGCACGGACTCGATGTGAACGGGCACGGACCGGTCGTCTTTACGCTCCAACGTCGTCTTTATTGTGCAGTCTGCCGAGGGTTCTGAAAAAACAGGGAGTGCCGGACAAGAAGCTACTAGTAACCAGGGCATCGCTACGAACGGAGCAAGGACGCTATTGGGGGCGCTCCTGAATAGTACTACTAGTAGCAAAAACGCTACCAAGTAACAAGACGCTACTAGTTCTTTTGGTTCTTTCTAAATCCCAAAACAACGGTGGAGCGTTGGTTCTCCGCACCGAGATTTCGCTCCGGTCTCCGGTGACACCGCAGAGTTCCGGACATCCTATTGGGAATCATCTTCCAACGTTCTCAAGCTCACTGTGAAGTGTGGCAGATGCCTCCCGGGGAAAAGCTGCCTTCCGACAGAAGCAGGGGACCAAGCGCCAGGGGACATAGCGCAGCACACAAGAATGTGTTAGATCATCAGGTTCCCCCCTTTTTCATCCCCTTGAAACATTTGACACCCTCTTCAATGCACAGTCCTCAAATTAATGGATGAGTGCGAAATCTGTGCCGAAAAGTGGCGACACTCAGGTCTCCAAGAAGCGAGTTCACTCGGCCAGTGAAATAAACCATCCGAAACCATCCAGAACCGACCAAGGGTGGAGCCATCCAATCTCAATAGCCACTACAGTGGCGACTGAGTCGACTCAGTCCAATAGTGACTAAGTCGCTTTTTGCCTCTGATCTAGATTCTAGATCGTTCCCTGGTCTAGTGACTCTAGTGACATCTCCTGGCACTGGAACGACCACAAACTCCCGAAACTTGCTGTTATTCTCGCATCCAAGATCACATACAGCTTGGCTTTTTCGCCCACTAAGATTCACAGTGGACTTGCCACGAGGGCCCAAACCTGCTGGTGTCCATCCGAATCGCTTCTTTCTTCGATCCCAAGACGCATCTGAGGGAGGACCAGTATTGCCATCCCAGACTTCCTGAAAACGCCGAGCCTTCGATCTCCGAAAACCAGGTTGGGTGGGACCCGACCCCTTAGGCGACTCCAAAACAAGAAAAAGAATATCATGATACCAACGTGTTTTGGTGTGTATGTGAGGTTTATTTACCAACAAACATCAACAAACGAGAAGAAAGCAACTTCCAAAACAACTTCATTGTAGTGGGACAACCATGTCATTTTAGCAGTCTTGCCGATATGGTGCGGATGGTGGGCCAAGGTTTTGCCAAAACAGCCCAAGCTTGTGTCACGACCTTTTGTCTAAACCTCTTCTGAGAGGCTGATCACTTGTTTTACAACTAAGTAGAGAGAAAAATCACCCGCACTATTAGAAATGTACGTAGTGAGCCCCTTTGATCCAGCACATGTCCTTGAAATCCTTTTCGATCGGAAAACCTGTATTTAATCAGTGTTACTATGTATTATATGGTACTGGTTTTACTGTCTGCGCGAGGTACTAGTCCCTCAGGGGGTTGCAACAAATTGAGCGCCAAAGGGGTCTCTGTTGCTGCTCCAAAAAAAAGGTTTCTGTTATCGCTGATTCTTACATCAACTCGAAAAAAAAAGAAAAAAAACCTGTAGGCCTAGTAAATGTTGATCCCCCTGTCTCGATACATGTCACATCCTGCCACATTCTGCGCCAGAAATGACTGCCAGTTTTGCAGGCTTTTGTACATCAGGTTGCCAGTCAAGAGGGCACCAAGTTCCAAAAAAAGACCGAAGAATCCTTGGGCCCTCCGGCCCTCCATGGCAAAAGTCCCTACACCCACCCGAACCTAACACCAGCTCGTTGCTTCGCGGCAGATCCTTTGAGATCCGCAGATCCTCCGGATTTGGGGAAATTGCTCACGACCTGTCTTCGCGCCCCTACAAGCCCCACACGTTTGCCACGAAAGGATGCCAAGCCCTGGGTGCCCCTTGGGGTGTTGAAAAAAAACAAACGACGCACACAACGAAGGTTCGCTCCAGCCAGCATATTTGGGTGCCATCTCATCTGCTTATCAATTGGATTGCTCCATGTTCTCTTTTATGAGGAGACAACCAAAGCTCCATGAGCCCCCCCAAAAAAGGCGGCCACTCGCAGCCCGGTCGACTCTCGGAGGCTGTCAGCCCTGCAAGTCATCGGTGTCTGCGATCTACCTCTCCGTGCCACTTAACTCAAGCAGGTGGCCGGTGCCATGTAGCATGCGGTGCCACAACGTTTGATGTGCAAGATATCTTTGGCTGTCCTCAGTGCTGAAAGACGGATGGTCAGTGGCTAAGGATGCCGGACACCAAGAGACAACACAAAGCTGGGTGGCTCATTGTTGGAGAATCATTGAGGATGATGAGGGAAAACACCAATGGTATTGCACCGTAAACATCTCTAAGCATTGTCATTGCCCACGCCTATGATCGCAACCTATTGAGACTACACAACCGCCCCTGTTCTTGAAGCAAAAGGAAAGGTTCTCCATAACATGTGATTTGGATGCGAAGCAGTAAGGCGCAAAGTCGATCTCTTAGCTTGACAAAAGAGGGTTTGCCCCCTGTGAAGCGACCTGCACGAATCATGGAAGGTGTGGTCATGGGTGTTGAAGAACGAAGCACCGATATGCTAGCGACACATGATTCCCACATGGTTCCACCATATTATATATATATATATTATTAAAGTATTCCGCTGTCAGTCTTGGTTCAGTCCTCCGAAGTGGATGATTTTGCAAATTTGGGGGCCAGACAGATTCAAGATAATAAGTAATAGCTATCCTCTCTCTCTCTGCATATATGTGATTATAATTCACTATATATATATATATTATGTAGTACAGGACGGATCCTCTTGATCCTACATCTAGAGCGTAGTACATCAAATCCTCGACTGCGACAGTTCTCCGACCGGTGAACCAAAACGAAAACACCGGAGCCACGCGTCTCTTCGGTCACTGGGGCCTCCAGGACCCAGGCCAGGCCCACATCGAACAGCCTGGGACGCGGACGCGCACGGACACTCCGCGGAACGGCGGAACCACGAAGGGTGGAAGGCGCCAGTTCGGCAGCCCTGAACAGTGGGGGCCTCTTGAGCTGAAATCTGCCGTAGTTTCGTTTTCCAGGTGAAATTCATTCAGGTGCTCGCCCCGAGGTCTTCTCGTTCAAAACATGCTCCCTCGGCAGTTCAGTTCAGTGGTGGCCACTTCCTTAAGAATCCCCTCTCATCTGCCATTGTGATTGGGGCGGTGGGCTGTATACCCATGGTGAGCTAAAGCTGTGCTTTTCTAGCTGGCTTCGCCTTCCACGATACCTCTTTCTTCTGCTTTCTCAAGTAAACAATTGCCATGGCCACCGTAGGTTCTTGTTTGCTTGCTTGCTTGATTGCTGATGCAGCAACCACTGAGAACAGGCCCATAAAGACTAGTTGCATACATACCAGCATACATGCATTATAGTAAAATGCCAGACATGCACAGTGTGTATTGTAGCATTATCAGCATCATGACAGACTAAACCAAGTGTAATCAATAACATATTCATGACAAAGCCCATAAGCATTTTTTTTGTTTTTGCCAAGCTGCTTCAGTGGCGGGAAGCTCTGCTCCTTGACCGGGGGCTTGATGAAGCCAAAGTTCTCCGGCTTGATATCTCCTCATTGTGCTGGAAAAGAATGGTCGCACGTATGCTGAGAAGTGTGGCAAAAGAGTGGCAACGAGTTGGGGGCCACCTCCAGCATTAGAAAGAGAGTGCTGGCAAGCAGGAGGTTTTGCCTTGGGCAACCCAATGAGAGTAAGGTGCAATGGGGACCACGGACGCTATTCTTTGTGGCCCGTCCAAATTGACGGACTGCTTCGCATTGATTTGTGGCATGTAGTCCGAATTGTTGTGGCTGCAACCAGATTATACTGGTCCTTTTCTGTGGGAGTGGACCACAGGAGAAACGACAGGATAGACCTGACAGTCTGCCTGTATTCCAGTTTTTGCAGAAGAGTAGATTCCTTTCTTGGTAGACGTATGTAAGCCTTCAAACATACTTCAAGAACCAACAGTAGAACTCCCAAGCCTCAATGGGAATCTTATGGAAAACAACTTGAGACGTCCTGCAAAATTGATTGACTCCTCTCCAAGACTGTTATGCGGCCTTGAGTTTGGATTAACTTCTATTATCTGTGTCTATATCAAACACTTTTTAGCAGAGACTTTAATCCGATACTCTCCGTGTCATCTGAAAGTTGTTCGTTGTCATGCAACAAAGCCCTAAAGCCCTGCCACCGACCTGCCCACCTCCCTCCGCGACCGTGGTCGCCGGCTTTTTCCGAGCGGCGATGTAGTGCACCTAAGGTTCGATGCATGTAGTGCACGGCCTGCCACCGAGGAAGCGAGGTTCTCGGGTTACGGCCGAACGGACGAACGGTGTACACGGCCGATGGAGGAAGGTGGGAAGCACACCCGGACAAGGTGACGATGATGATGATGATGATGATGAATGACTCCATAATTTTTGAAGAGAGTCTTCTACCGAGTTGAAAGTCCTGCATTTGGGGCAGGGGTTACTTCAGCCTGGTCAGGCTGTAAAAAATCATCATCAACATCAGCAGGATGAGAGTCAACAATGAGGGAGGTAGTCTGCACCCGGTCCCCATCCTGTGAGATGTTTGGCCCCAAAATGGTGGCCGTTACAAATTACAAGCCATGAAAATGCCCCTCTCAACTTGATACATGAGAACAACCTGAAGCGAGGTTTCACCTGAAGCTCGACAGGTCTGAATCTTCAACTCAGTGTTCCTTGGTAGGGGCAGTGGCAGAATCCAGTATATATATAGATATGATGTATGTATAATGTTGTATCAATATGTCTAAATGCAAAGGATCTACAGTACAAATCGGCAGCAGAATGATCTTCCAACCTTGAGACCAACACAAATCCCAACTGAACCGATGTTTTGTGCCCATGGGGCCCATGCCATCCACACCATGGAGCGTCAGTAGAACCCAAACACGACGTCGTTCCCAAAACGACGGTGACCGTGATGGCCACTGGTGCCTCCAGCATCTGCCTCGGTGTGAGGCAGTGAGGCCACTGGCTTTTTCTCCACTGCACGCGGACGAAAACAGAAAAATGGCTCACACATGAACCATGTGCCACGAGGCGAGATCGTGAAGCAACATCTGAAACCCATGAAAAACAATCCCTAAAGACACCGTCCTGGAGAATTCATTTAAATTGCCATGTCGAATGAAATGGAATTTGAACCACTTCCACGTTCACTGGCGCTAAACGGTCCAAAAGGCAAGGACTACCCCAGCAGAATGTCACGCGGGTTCTGGGCCTTTTTCCCGAAAGTCGTCATTTCAAAGGGTTTGCGAAACAAGAATCACATCCAATATTGATCTTACTTTGATGTACACCAACAATGATGAAAGAATGAGATCTGGGAGGTTTTCGCACATCGTAGCCAGTCTCCTCAAAACACAACCGGCATGCCCGAATGCAGGATTGAAGCCCTCAAAGTAAGAGCATGCAAACTCACAAGCACCACAGAACCCCAAAACAACAGCCGAAACGTTTTTGCTCGGAGAATGGTTTTGCAAACGGGTGATGTTTGGGTACCTATCATCCTGCCTTAGTCACAGGCTCGTACCTCACCCTGTGCTTTTCACAAAGCAGCTCACTTGTGGCATGGTGCCCCAAAAATTTCCTGAAACAAACTCTGAACAGTCGGAATTCAAGTAGACCCCCTCTTGGCTCTTTGGGTCCTCAAGCACCTTCACCTCCCACTAGTTGTCACTATAGTCAGACGATAAAGCTGCCGCCCCGGCACCGCACCAGACCGACGACCGCACTCTCCGGGAGTTTCTCGGTCTTCGGTGCCAAAAAGTCGAAGAGGTCCGGGCCCTCCAGGAGCTCCATGACCTTGCTCAGCTGCAGGGAGGGGACCCCATACGGGCCTAAAGAAATGCAAATATGTACGTATGTCGTCGGTTGTCCGTCCGTCTGCCTGCCTGCCTGGCTTGCTGTCTGTCTGTCTGCCTGCCTGCCTGTCGGTCTGTCGGTCTGCCTTCTGCCTGTCGGTCTGTCGGTCTGCCTGCCGGTCTGTCGGTCTGTCGGTCCGTCTGTCCGTCTGTCCGTCTGTCCGTCTGTCCGTCTGTCCGTCTGCCCGTCTGCCCGTCTACCCGGCTGCCGGTCTGCCGGTCTGCCGGTCTGCCGGTCTGCCGGTCGGTCTGTCGGTCGGTCTGTCTGTCTGTCTGTCTCTCTCTCTCTCTCTCTGTCTGTCTGTCTGTCTGTCTGACTGACTGACTGACTGACTGACTGGATGTATGTATGTATGTATGTATGTATCGTTGTATCTATGTATCTATGTTTCTATGTATGTACGTAGGTATGTATGTGTATGTGTATGTGTATGTGTATGTGTGTGTGTGTATGTATGTATGTACGTATGTATGTATGTACGTATGTACGCATGTACGCATGTACGGATGTACGTATGTATGTATGTATGTATGTACGTATGTATGTATGTATGTATGTATGGGGCTCCAGGTTTGGTGTTTCCCTGCCCACGGTGTTTTTCCCTTGCCTGATAGCAGATTTGGGTTGGGTGTTTTCTGTTCCCAGCCAAGGAAGCCGGAACGCAAGGCAAAGGTCAAGGGCAAGAAGCGTGACGCCAGTCATGAGCAGCCTTCGGCTGCAAAGGCCAGCGAAGAGCGGCTAGGGGATGTTCTCACTGCATGCATGTCAGCATGCACTGCTCAGCTGTGTGACTGGTTGATTGGGCCATCCACACAGACGACGATGTTTGAGAAGACAGGATGGGACTCTTGTGACGTCTGTTGTGATCTTTGCATTGCAGTGCGCTTCATTGCCGTCTTGTGCAAGTTTATTTGCACAATTTCAGGCCACTTTGTCCTGGAGATTTACGTTTCTTATTGATTCGGGTCCGAATCTTCCTTTTAACTTTCACTTGGCGAGTTTATGGCGACCTTTTGTGAACCCCTCATCTTGGAGCCCAAACTGCGGCCCAGCAATCCTGACAGACAGATAGATAGATAGATAGAGTAGATAGATACATTTTGCGGAGATTCCTTTCTTTATTGAGGGCTCGGGCTTTTCACCTCGCGACTTGACGAAAGAAAGTCCCTGCGGCCACCGACCAAGCTCACGCCACGTGTGGGAAAACACGATTCCTTAGAATCTTCAATTTTCAGGCTGAAACGAGTGGAGCATTCGGCCAACCCTTGGCTCATACACTTGTTTGAATCTCACTTCAGCTTTCTCCTTCCAAGTGGCGCATCTCGCACAAATGCCTCACAACTACTGCTTGAACCGGCGGGGGATGGCACATCCCGGATAGCTAGTGGTGCTACCCTCGGAGGTCTTGGAGTATACCTTCAGGTACTTGGCAAGATCCTTGATCATGGGCGTGAGTCATCCACTTCAAATAATTTGCCTTCTCCGCCTCGCTAGAGACTGCCAGATCATGGTACGACAATCCCTTCTTGCCGAACTTTCCCACTTCGACGAGGGTCTGGCCCCAATGACCGGCTGGAAGGGCTTCATCGTCGACCATTCTCTTGGACCCACGCACTGGCAACGGCAGCTGGCAAGAGGGAGCTTCGGCATCAGGATCAGTCAGGCAGCGCTTCGATGCGTCGCTCATGGATCCTTGGCTGTCAATGGCAGGCACTAACTCAAACTCCATATGCTCCTTCTCAAGCTCTGCCAAGAGAATCCCAAGGGAGCCTTCACTCCGAATCTGTTGCTGCAGCAATTCGGCAACAGCTGAGGACATCTGAGACATACTGGTTCTATTGACCAGGAGGAAACCACTTGTCTGCAATTCGATCACCGGATGATGATCGTCGGCTTTTGGTTCGTGTGAAAAATGGCTGCAGGTGCTAAGGCATGCACTGACACAAAAACACTAATTTTCTTAACGAAAAACCATCGAGTTCCGAACACACTAGCGACACCCATTGAAGCAGTGTGAGCCTAAGACCTTAGATGGTTTCTTCACTTGCTCACCCCTGCAAGCGAATCATTGATTTGGACTTCCTCTTTTGAGTCGTGGTTGGTCTTATGCATGTTCCGTCGAAAGGCCTTCTCCTTAGCCTGGAGTTCGAGAACGGTTGCTTCTGGGGATATTTGATATGTGGAGTTCTTCATACACGCACGAAGCAAGTCCATCGGATCACCGGCATCTTTTGTGAGACTATCTGCCAACATTCGGTTGGTGGGAACCCATCGAATAAAAGCATTCATTGATTTGCAGCTCTCCCTGATGATTACTATATCGATGCTTGTTCTACGATCCTCAATTGACGTTGGTGATGAGGGAGACTTCAGGTGATCATACAAGCTTTTGCAGTCTGTCACGATGATCGGCTGACGCCTTTTGAGCACATCACGACATGTGCGGATTTCCAACGGTCCATCAAAAATCTCGGCCAAAAGCAACAGCAGCCATTCGGTGGTGCCGGTTGCGACCGACATGGCCTGACTCTCTGCGGACATTGTGCTACTCACTGCACGTTGCAGGCGGTAGCTTCGCCAGGATGCAGGAGTCCACGGTGACTCATGGCCATGTTGCAGAGAAACATCAGTGAACCCATGGATATACCCTGCTTGTGTGTGATTACCTCTATTCGCGAAAGCAGCATCGCTATGACACACGATGGTGAGTTTGTCAGGATGAATGGGCTTGAATCTGATACCTAGGTCCTTTTGCTGCCTGGCTCTGCATCGCTAGACGAGCTATTTTTGGGGATGTTCACCGGTCGGATCTTCTCAGCGAAAGAGCTCATGCCCATATGAATTGAATAGTCTGGTTCTTGAGTATACCAGGCACCACCAAATTCTCCAACACGAACTCTGTCTCAATCTCTCCATTCCCAAACTTGAGCTGGTGTACCTCGGCAATGCGCCGAGGGAAGACCAACCACGCTGAGCCCACAGCTTCTCAAAACTCTGTAGGGTTGATGATCCAATGATGGCGCGGCCACACCCGGAGTCCAAAACTCCGTACCCCGGAGATGAAACAAGCAGCACGTCAGAGACGTTCACCTCTGTCAAACCCTGGTCCTGACGAACCTTGATCATGAAGTGTGCACGAACCTGTTCCAACAATGTAGGGGTTGTTGATACCGCAGCAACAAATCCAACTCATCAACCACAGCAGCTCCGGACGTCGTTCCGCAGGTGGTGGAAGAGGTCTTGTCATGGCCTTTTCCAGAGCCCTTTCGAGACTCTTTTGAGCGACACTCTCGGGCCCAATGACCCTTTTTGGCGCATCTATTGCAGGTTGAATGCCGTTTCATTTCTTCGATCTCAACGCGAAAACTGCGCTTCACATCACGGGCCTTCTGGAACTGACGGGTCTGAAGTCGATTCAACTCCTGGCGTTTCTCCCGCCAGGTCGCTGCAAGCACCTCAGCCACTTCAGATTCTGGAAAGGCCTCTTGGTCAGCAACGTAGTCACCACCTACAGGGTGGTCTTCAAGCAGGTGTTCCACATCCGAAAACCCTTCTTCCAACTCGTCGGCCATAGCCACCGCAAGCTCCTCTGGGTCATGGGCATCTTCAGTCATTGCAACTCCACCTCTACGACGGGAGATGACCAGATCAGGATAGCACGACCTCAAGGCCGCGGCAACCGACTCACGCTTCAGATCACCTCGAGCTCGGGCGATGACTACCGCCTTTTGCTCTTCCGTCAGGCTGGCTCGATGCAGAAGAATCCAACCCCGAGCCTCATCGGGAAAGGCAACACCTGTCTTCCGTCGACATCGATCGAAAAGCTCTGATGCTCTAGCTGCACTCTGCTTCATAGATTCTCCATCCGAGGATTTCAAACTGAAAACCTCGCCAAGAATCTCGCCCAACTCATCCACCGTCTCCAACTGAGGAAAACGACGATCCAGAAGAGTCCAAAGGGCATCATCCCGGCCCTTTTTCTGATACAACTCTGGGTCCAAGTGCTCCACTGCCTCCAGAGCTTTCCCCTGTAGCAACGTGTAGATGTATGCTCCTCTTGAGGATTCAGGCAGCTTATCCAACGTCAACAACTTGTTCTTCACCCACTGTTTCCAGCGCTTGTACTCTCGACCGTCCTCGGTCTCACCAGAAAAGAACCGCAATCCACCTTCAGAGGAGGTGGACGACGATGCCATGCCACTTGTGAGGACTTTCGCCTGAAAGTCACAGCTCCATTGCTGGAGCCCGGCCCTCCGCTACCAATTGCGGAGATTCCCCCTCCCCTGAGGGGTCAAACACTCGGGCTTTTCGCCTCGCGACTTGACGAAAGAAAGTCCCTGCGGCCACCGACCAAGCTCATGCCACGTGTGGTAAAACACGACATTTATACAGTAGATAGATAGATAGATAGATAGACAGATGGATAGATAGATTTTGACCTGGTCAATGCAGAAATCATTACAAATCCCATGGTCTAAAGTCTAAACAATGGTGTGCGTGAGCCTTACCATGGCGGTGCGTGGGCCTCATCCCTCAAAAGTTTGCCAAATTTATATTTAATTCGAGGGGATTTATATATAGCTCCTAAGCCCCAACAGAGGAGACTAAATATAGAGGCCCACGCACCCCATAAAGTCTTATCCTCAAAAGTTGGGTGGGAATGAATTTCGCGCCCTTACTTCGGAGCACCTTTTCTTCTGCTTGGGCTTCCTCCTGCGGCGCCCCCCCCCCCAAGCAAAAAAAGGATTCAAGAAGCGCACGCTGCTCGCTCACTGCGGTGTGCCTTCTGTTGTGCTCATATTTGTCCTCCAGCTCCAGCATGAGCAGAAGGACTTTATCTCTGTCCTCCCAATCGCCAAAGCTGCAGACAAGAAAAATGTCGACGCGCTGCCACGAGGCAAGCCAACGAGAGCAGTGGATGGGAGATAGAAAGAGAAAGATACAAAAATAGAAAGTGAAAGAGAGAGATTCAGGGAGAGATTCAGAGAGAGAGAGAGAGAGCCCGAGGGAGCGCCTCCGGCTGGCTTTCGACGAACTAAAAGGAGCAGAAAATCACTTGGATTTCGCGTGTTTTGTTTTGCACAACCATTCCAAAAAATATACTAAAGTGCAAGTACGCACCTTCTCATTCGTAAGGGTCACAGACACCTTTAACGTCACTCTCCCATCTGCTTGCAGGGCTGAGTCTTGTCTGTTCTGTCACCATCCTGAATCTTCCCTCATTCATAGCATCCCGGAATGTCGGAGATTATCCCGTGACGTTGCAGCACATCATTTCAGAAGGCTTCCGGGAAAAGAACAGGGAGGATGATAACTTCTAATCAAACCCGGATGCACTGAGAATAAACTGTCTCTAACGCGGTCCTCCTTGTCCAGAGTTGGCGGGCCTTTGTAGGGACGCACCAGCCCCGAGGCCTTGCCAAGTGTTCATGGCGCCGACTATTTGGTCGGTTTTGAATGCGGCAGCGTGTTTTGTGGAGGGTTAGCAAGTTGTTCCACGACGTCTTTTCGTCGCTCCTCTTTGCTTTCTTCCGCACTCTGTCTTTGGCCACGTTTGTGAGCCACTGCTGGTGCTCCTGTCCGCGCCCCAAACAAAAAGAAGGCGCCATCCATCTCGACACCTAGTCCGGTGTTCGAATGGATGGCTTCAGCAGGCCGGCTTTGTAGGTGGGTGGGCAAGCGACATCAGAGTACTTCTTGCTTAAGGCCCAGGCTGCCCAGGGAACTGGACGTTCGTAGCTTTTGAGCCACTGCTGGACTTGCGCTTCTCCACGGGCGTCCAGTGCGCGCAAGAAAGCTCGCCAAACGGAGGAAAACAAAGGCAAGGTCGGCAAAAATCGAATGAGCCGCACCACGTTTTTCGATGAAGGGCAAATTCACATTGACCCACTTGCCGCAGCTCCTGGCATTTTGCGGCCATGGTCGTGTGTCCTTTCTGTGAGAATTGGACAAAATAATCACATCCAAGCGACCGCGGAAAGCATGTCACAAGGGCAGCTTCAATGCTTGCGCAGAAATCTTTATGTAGCTCCTTCAGCGCTGGCCGTTGGGGAGTACCGCTTGCTTGCCACAAAGAATCCAAGCACTGGAATCACTGGAACAAGCGCTCATAGTTAGGGTGGTTTCCTCGTGAAAATTGCCTGCAAAACTGGAGCAGAATGACTTGTGAATGCTTTGCCTTGGCAGCGGCGCCCTGTAGGGTTGGCTCGTGTGAAGGTTATTTTCCGGAGCGTGTTTTTGATAAGAAGGTCTACGGTGGCAACACCCATGCCTCTTTCTAGCACCTTCATCTTGGTGTCCACCGTGAAACACAAAACATCATCTTCATAACAGCGCAAGAGGTTCAGCATTGCAGCGCATGAGAACAGAATGCAAGTCTCAGACTCAGACAGGACCGGCTCGGCTAGCAATAACAAAGTTTTGCATCTGGTGGGATAGATTTCGGAACGCTGTCCAATTGTAGCTGCGTAACACCAACCAATGCCTGGTGGCTTGCCAAGGACTCTTTAGACAGCTGCTTCTGCCGCTTGAGCCAGTTGGACATCTGCGTGGAGGCTTGCAAAGTTTCCAAGGTGAAAGCTGCACTTGTCAGGGAAAGTTTCAGTCCACGAAGGTCACTACCACCACCATCAACGAATGCAGTGGCAACAGCCAGCTGCGCAGCGGTGAAAAGACGACGCGTTGCCGTTCTGTTGCCGTTCTTTCTTGGCGCACATGGTCTCCACACTGCTGCCGCATAAGCGTGCCCGGCGAATGCACATCACCAGTGAAGGAAACACCATGGGAAGGCAAAACACCGAACCGGGAACATAAACACCCAACCCGTATGTATGTATGTATGTATGTATGTATGTATGTATGTATGTATGTATGTATGTATGTATGTATGTATGTATGTATGTATGTATGTATGTATGTATGTATGCACGCGTTGCCCCCTAAAACGAGCTGTTTTTAATCTTAAAGTCAAGGCAGTGTGCGGTTGGGTTGTTTTTGCGATGCGTTTTTGTCGATGGGCGACCTGGTGTTGATGCGCAAGAAAAACCACCATTTCTACCCCTCCAGCAGTTCTTTTGTGACATGGGCTGAAACAACTAGTTCTGGGGAAACAGCATGTCACCAATACATGAAAAGAGCCTCCGCGTTTGTTAAATCAGCAGGCGTATAAATAGTTCCTATTTCATCAACTACAAACCAACCTATTCTCAGACCCTTTTCTCTCAGAACAACCCGCCTGGAAGAGAGCCTCTTGCGGTTGCACGAAGGCGGCCAGTAGGCCCACCATACCTTGAAAAAGCGCATGCCTCTTTCCAAGCCCAGAAACCCCCATCAAGATCATCAATAGATTTTAAGTTATCTCTGTCTCATCAAGAGACCCCACACAGTTAAGTAGAAGAAGAGGAATCAGAACAAGGGTGAATAAGCTAACTTCCACGTGAGAGTATTTATGTGAGCAGGCACATGAGAAAACGCGCGCACTTTGAGAGCACCGGATGACAGCATTATGAGAGAGCGCACATATGAAAACAAGGCCACGCCGCTGTCAACGGCCTCGCTGAGTTTCAGCCAGGGCAAAAAGCTTTAATGGTTTGCAGCTTTAGACCCTGCGAGAGCGCTGTGGAGGAAAGCACCCGCTCCAGCCATAGAGTTTGCGCGAGCCTGCACAGTCGAAATGCACTTCAAAGATCTGGAGAGGCATGAATGTATGGTAAATAGATGTAAATAGCAGCGAATTAGCCGCCAACGGCCTTGAGCACTTTCGATCAAACCCGGCCTTAACCATTACCGCAAGAACCCTAGTGTGACCACACTGTCTAAGGAAAAATATCAAACAAGAAACTCAAAGCAACATCCAAATCCACCAAACATGTGTTATTTTTCTCCTTTTTTACCTTCTTGGCTGTTCATGAGATGTCTCCCATTCTTGATTGTGTGCAGCAAGACATGATGATGTTTCAGGAAGTCTGACATCCAAGGGACAACAGCCAACTGCCAAACTCTCCCTACTGAGTTTGACTCCGTGCCCACCAGTCTAACTGGGTCTCCCCTTCACTTCACTGCCTCCCCATCTGCTCCGAGTGGCCGTGCTCCGTTGGGCCTGTGGAGCTCAAGTCCCGAAGGAACTGGCGATGTCGCTGTGCTGAGACGTTGAGCAAGCTGTATCCAATCTCGGTAGGCGAGACAAGCTGAGCTGAGACGCTTGGTGTGTCTCTTAGTTGAAACTTGGCTGAGGAAAGGTGGGAAGATGTGGGCATGTAGGGTTTGGCCCCAAAAAGGAAAGGGTCTGGACTGCCTCGATGTGTGGTGTAATGATTTAGACACTCTCTTGCTTGGTGTTTCTCAGCAAGAGACGGGAAGCAGGGGTGGTGTGGTGGGCCCGGGCCAGTGCGAAAGGGTGTTTTTGCTCATAATGATGAATGATGGTCTGTCAATATGAAAACCCAAGAAGTCAGCGCGAAGGGTCTAAGGGTCTAAGCAAATGCTGATCTGCTCAGAAGAGGTACCTGACAGATCCTTCTGATTAAGACAGGATCCATGATGGCAACAAAGCTGAATCAAAGAGGAGCTCCTGGGGAGAACCAGCCCCAGAGTTGTTCTTCTACACGAAAGGAAGGGAATGGACCGATATTATTACCTCAGGTAAAGTGAATAGGTGAGAATGAATAGGAGAGAAGTCAGAAATGTGACGTTTTCCCTCTTGGTTTTTGGATTGATGGGACAATCTTTTGTTGCATTGACTACTTGAGGATGAACCCTTTCCAGTCGAAAAAGCACCCTCATCCTTTCAGCCCTGATTTGGGAGCTAGACTCCAGCTGCTTTCCTCGAATCACGCACCTTTTTTTCCCTAGGGGATTTGCGGACGTAGGCAAGGCCACCATTCCGCATAGTGCTTCCTGCGGTCCGAAACTCCACGAAGTGCCGGGCACACGGTTCGTGCGTTGCTGTTCGGCGTTCGTTGCTGCCTCTGGTCATGTGGAGGATCCAGCGGAGTGGTCCAAACGGGTTTCCGGTGCTAAGCAGTTTCAACACAAACCACGCTGCAAGCGATGGGAATAAAGAAACCAACGCCCCAAAGAGCCACCGATGTGCTCGTCCAATACATCAACAATGTCTTCCTTTTCCCTGGTCTACGTGGAGGCCAGGACTCCATGGTCATGGTCAAGTGCTGGTCAAGTCATCAACATGGAACATAGACCAGCACACACGTGCTTTCCCAAAAGGATAAGTCTGCCTCCCTTTCCTCTCATGTCCCATCCATAATGTAGAATATTGATTAATAAACTAACAAATAGAAACACCACATATGAAGAGGATTTAAGAGGTATTACAACCCAAATGGGGGGGTCTTAATGGGTCTTATAATATCTTATATCAATCAAGATTCCACATGATTCTTTCTCAAGCTGTCTGATGGTTTCCTGGCGTTCTCCACCGTTGAGACGTGGCAGACCGCCGCCGGGCGCAGCGCTGCGTCGCGCTCGTCCACGACGTTGAAGCCTGTGGAGCCGGGGGCCAATGGGGGTGAAGCGCCCCGCGGCGGTGGAGCATCCGGAAATGAAATGACCATGAACATGACTGGAACCAACAAAGTATGGTGGTTGGGGGGAACATGAACCAACATGACACGTCAGGTGGAAGCAACAAAGTACGTCTGCAACATGTCTGCAGAATCAGGTGGAAAGCGGGTGGAACATCTGTACCAACGAACCTGCAAAGCAGTCTAGTCGCCGCTTTTCAGCTTCTCCCGCCATACCCTAGGATTCAGTCCACCATTGGTTTAATGGTCTTTACCGAACAACCATTGTTTTTCTAAGGATTGTGTACACTACAAAACCAGGTCAACCATTTTAAATGGTCCTTGGGCATAGTGTCTTTGTGTGCGTCAGTTTTGAACAAGGTCATCCCATCTCAGTCTAAGGAATTGGGTACTTGACGGTGTAGTTATATAAGCATTACACCAAGGTACTTCACCCAGTTCCCACCACCAAGTAACCCCATCAAGGCAGGCCCAGTGCACTCTCAACGTAATCCTTCAGGGCATGAGCTCCGAGCTCCATCAACATTCGTCTTCATCACACCCCTCGAACGGCACCCCTGGCCCCCCTGGATAACCTATGTATCCAACGCATCCATCCTCCGCATGCCTGGCATCTGATTGCTGTCAGGTGCTGCATCTCCCAGAAGTGCTCGAGTGCACGCGGCCATCGACTCACCTGGGGCGATCCAGCCAGGTCAACGGCTTCGTTCCTCCGAGACGGACCGACGGGTCGGGCAACAACTAGGGCAATCGGTCAAAGGACGGTGCGTACGATGCATCGTTGTACACCAGAAGCGAATTGAAGTATTCTCCAGTGCCTGATGATTCCGGACCGGGATCAAAAGGTTTGATGTAGGTGATTGCAAAAACAACACAAAAACTGACCCTTCTGTCAGATACGTTTCGGGCCTCAAAACCTGGCCGATGCAGGGTCACACCAAGTCGCTGTTGCTGTCGACGTTGTATCCACCTTCCTGCGCGAGGACGACTTTGCCACCCGCCAAACCTTGGACACGCTCCATGCGGTTCCCACAGACAAGGCCGGTGAAAACCGGAGGTGGAACACCGGTCGACCAGCAGCCCAGCAGCAGTCGATTTAAAAAAATAACGGTCCTTTTTGTTTGGGGAGGAAAAGGCCTTCAATGTATAGACTCTTGGTTAATTAAGAAAACACACACAGAAGCGATGTAGAACTGTAAAACCTATTTGATGACACATGCTACAGGGCTTGATGCCACTCCCTTCGACTCTAGCACAAATAAAGAACTGTTCCTTGAAGGGTCGGCTCCGCGAACGCTCAGAACCTAATCTCGAGAGGTCCGAGAACCTCACGCTCGGTTCATTGGGCGTTTCAAAGGTAGTTCAAGCAACCTAGAAGTCCAAAGACGGCATATGTTTGCCTAATAAGTGAAGTGTTTCGGAAGATTCCTTTTCATGCCACCAAACGACTCGACCTTTCTTTTTAGAGTCTTTGACTCTCCCGGTCCGTTTCAGGTGTCTGCAGTTCTTCAGTTGGTGCACTGTATTTCTTGAGTCGAGCAATTCGTCATGTGCGGCCCCAGGATCCCATAAGCTTCTGGGTGATCTCGTAGAAGCCCTTGGGCGAGACCCGGCAGCCACCTCCGGATGCTTCTTCGTTTTTTGGTTCGACCGACGAGTCGACGAACGGCGTGCAGCTGACGAGCCTCGTGGTTTGCCAAACGAACGGCTCGACGAGTCTCGTCTTGCGAACCTGCCCATCTCACCGAAGCTGCCTATCTCACTTCCAGTCATGGTAGTCTCGGCACACCAAAAAGTGTTGGATCATGGACTTGTGCTCCGAGTGCAGGTTTAGAGAGGATGGGAGGATGCTACAAGGCAGGGTTGTATCTATGATGGCCACGGCAACTACTCTGATTGTAGCAGTGGGTTGGTTTTTCGAACCTCTGGTGTATTCCTCCGTTCATCTACAGAATCCCACCAGCAGAATGCAGTTCTGGGATGTGATCTGCGGATTTGTCTTTGCCCGATGAAGAAAAGAACAAATCCACCCTGGACCGTGCGAGACACCTGCTGCTTGAAGCAGTGTGGGCTTGGGAAACAAAAGGTTGGTCCATCCATCCAACCTACACCGAAGCAAGGCCCTAGTAGCATAAAGCACCCAAATCCATCCAAATCCCAACTCCTTCATCACAAGAATTGAACCTGACCAAAAAATAAAGCAACACCTCAAATGAAAAACCTCTCGTCTAGTCATCCCACCGCCGCCCATCTCACCCGCAGACCCCCCGCATTCCCCCCGCATTCCCTCAACCTCGTTCTTCTCCCTCGCCTAGCGGGTCACCTGGTGCCGCATCGAAGCCGGCGCTCACGAGGACCAGGTCCGGCGTGAAGGCCTTGGCAATCCTCGGTCGAAAAAACATCCACCACCTAGTGCTTCCAATGGGTGTCCAATGGTGACCTATAAGCAGTGTAGGGTTGTCCATTGGTAACCTTTTGGAAGCAGCTGGCAGGAATCCATTTCTGAGTGGATCGGCACCCCGGCGGCCGAACTTGGTTCGGCACCCCAACCAACTCCAAGTTCGCCCAAACACCCGTGATTGGTTCCAGAAGGTCTGCCAGGGATGTGGAAGGGATTAGGAAGGGAGCCTCCAAAGAGCATCCAGAGGCTTACCTGTGGAAATCTATACGAGGTTAATACCATGATATACCATGGTATTTAATCAAGGTGTCTTCTTCCTGGGGGGCTCCTTATTTCAAGATATGCCACTATTATGGTTGTGGCACTTATGTCCACTTGTGTCCCTTCTTCATCATCATCATCCTCATCCTCCTCGTCGTCGTCGTCGTCGTTGGAATCCCAAGAATGGAGTTCGATTTCAACGCCTTTCCGCAGAAGCGGATTTCGGCAAAGAATGGCCAATCACATCCAATCACTATGGGATTGAGCTGCACATCTACAGATTTCTGATCTGTTCCCATGACGTTTTGCCGCCACGGCGCGGCATGAAGAGCCGATCAAAGGCATACAGCAGTTCCGCATCTCCGGGAGGGTTCTTCGCATTGGAGGCCACCTCCCAGGGGACGTTCACGCAGTAGCCTTCACCTACCCGTTGAATCGAAAACGGCATCGGTGGATGAGTCGAGACACGGAACGGTCACCACGTCCTCCCGTTTTGACCGCTATCGAAACAAGCGGATGGCATGGACCCGAAAGGATGACTGTCCTCTACAAACAGTGGCTTGCCACTTCCATGGTTATTTCAGGGAGTTTATAGGGTTCTAGGATGTTCTAGGGTTTTAGGGTGGTCGAACTGGGAATCCCTAAGAAAGGGTCCTTTTTTGATGTGCTCAGTGTGAAGTAAAGTCCGTACTCCATGTGCTCTTCTCTACACACGCACCACGAACTTCGGCGTCTTCACCCCGCGCCTGCGCCTGTGCCGTGACTGGTGTAGTTTCCCAATTCACCTCCAGGGTAATACTTCCCACGGTCGTAGCGGTGGATGGAACAGAAGAGCACCTCGGCGCGTTTGTTGCGCAGTTCGACGCCACCGAACTGAAGCCGGGTCCACGGAGGGACACGGGGACACGAGAGACCCAACCGGTCAGGATAATCGACCAAAGTCAGTGCAGTCGACTTGTGCATCTGTACAGTGTCTTCTTATTCTAGTGGTGACACCCAATGTTCAGGTTCAAAGAAACGCCCCCAACATCCGCGAACCAACCGTCGGCGAAACGAGGTTCACCCGGTTCCCACACACTTGGAATCTATGCCGCCCCATTCGACCCCCCCTAAACCACAAACCAATGGCCCTTTTTCGGCCCATGTCGCAGCCCCAATTGTCTTCGCGTGGAGTTGAAGTCCTCCAGAGAAGAGTCACGGGAAGCTCTGTGGAGCGGAGCTCTCCCCAGGATGAAAAGGTGCACAGTGAAAATGGTGGCGCACAAGAGTGGGGATTCGGTTCCTCTCATCCATGCCATTTGCTCTTCCCCAGAGAGTTTGTTGCCGAGTTTTCTTTTTGTTTCACAACAGCCACAGTGAGCTCTCGAATGTCACCTGTCTTCGTTCGGGTCCTGCTAACAATGTTCTAGCTGGTCTAGCTTTCATGCACAAGTTGGGTTCTACTCCCACCCAGGTACGGATCGAATGTTTGCTCAATGAAGGGCCTCAAGCGAAAAACATGAGATATATAGTAATATGTTATGATCGTTGTTGAACTGGAACTGTTGCTGGGTTTGCGGGCCACCCCAAGATCACCCAACAACTGAGGTTGGCCTGGCCTTCCTCACCAGGCCACACTGGGGTCATCTTCGAACATCCGCTGAGTGCCGTTGCCATGGTGCACATCGAAGTCCACGATCAGCACTTTGGATGCCCAGCCTGTCACGACCGTGTCGATACCGAAGGAATTGTCCGCCAAAGGGTTCGAAGGTCACTCCATCGTCTCCTTCATTAACATGAATAGTACGAAAATCCCTTCATCATCTCCATGAATTCTAATAGTTGTGTACCGTCTTTCCCTCTCAGCCGGGACCCGGCGGTCGCATCTGTGGTGCGGTCGCCTCCCCGAAGTGCCGCGCCTTTCGCCTGCGCCAGGGCCGCGCCGAGCGCCACGTTCCCGAAGAGGCAGAAGCCCCGCGGCTGCGAGGGCTCGGCGTGGTGGCCTGGAACAGCTTGGTTCGGCTGAGGGAAGTGCCGAACACATCCAAGACCGGATGCGCTGAGGGTTCTCCCACAGGTGAACCCGGGTACAAAGAAGAACATGTACAGCACCAACACCTGGGAACCTCATTGTGAACCCAAATGTAAAAGTAAGACCCACACACAAAGATGTGGGGATAAGAGATTGAGGTATAGCACAAACACCTGCACCTTTCTTCATGTTCAACCATCGGCAAATCGCTTGTGGCAACCTTGTTGGGAGGCACAACAAGGTGCATCTAGGAATCTAGGGCTTTTTGCAGCTGTGAATTTAAAAAGAAAACAGAAAACAACAACAACAATCTCGAAGCATTCAGGTGTCTGACAAGACTTCATCCAAATGGACTGAAAGCCGGCCCCTGTTCGTCCAAACATCACGATCCACTGTTCCACTGTTCCGAAACAACGATTGCCTGCCACGAAAACGTGTCCAGGATAAACCACCAGATGCGCACAGATACACCACCGGAGCACCACTGCGAGAGTCCGCAGGCCCCCAAAGTCCTGCGCCTGCTACGAGAAATGACCATGAGGTCTGACTCGCTCAGTGTGCCTGGAAAATATCGGTGTTTGGTGTCCACCTGTTCATTTGTTCAAAAAGGCTAGAGGTTATCTACTGACATGGTAGGAGGTCAACTTCTTGCTGTGCCTGCCACGAATAAAAACGAACCAACTCAGGAAATAGCGCGAGTCCTGTCTTACACTCACTCTGCCTTACTACCTTACTACTCACCAAAAGAACCCCCCTAGCCTGCCAGCAACCTCTTCGAGCAAATCTTATATACCTTTCAAGTTCACCATGACGACACGATCTTTTCACCCACCTCCTGCCTTTCCCATCTCTTGCGATCTTCCTTTAGAACTCTCCATCTTTCGCGCAGAACTCGCTCCCGACCACCGGCGGCGAGGGCCCTCGCCTGGCGGCCGCACCACGCAGCAGGCGCTCTGCACCTCTCCGCTGCACACGCGAGCCGTCGCTTCCAGCACGCAGCCCGCGGAGAGCAAGGCGGCCTCGGCAGCGGAAGACGGGAGTTCTTCGGGAAGACTGGAAGACTGGATGAAGTTGGTGAGCGGTTTTCAGGGATCTGGAAAAGGATTGAAAAAATGGGATAACTATATAAATGATAAGTATGGGGAAACAAAGAAACCCTTTCACCAGACAATAAAAGTGTTTGTGGCTGGGAAAGGCCATGGTAAGTTGTGACGTATGTCATATGAATTGCTTCCCGATGTTCCTATCTTCTATATCTTGGTCCCTAAGCAAACAAAGTCAAACAGAAATGATGTTTCTCGTCTCCAGGGTGCTCACATTGCCCAGATCTACCCAGATGCCTCTTACAGCAGAACAGCGGCGTTGATCGGAACCCCCCATGCTTTCAGAAGGTCATGGGCGCCTCATGGCGCCTCAGGACCCAAGCATGGGAATCTGGACCACATTCGCACCAAACTCCAGAATTGTGTAAAGGAAAACAAACTAGCCAAAGTGTTTGGTCGAAAAAAGAAGACGCCCGAAGAAATTGTGCTCCCAAGTCACTTCGGTGGTCTCGGGACATAGGAAGATGCTGTCGAACTCCAGGCCTTAAAAAATCCAATCAAGCCCGGAGATGTTCGATGAAAATCAACCTTCGGAGCTTTATGGCACTGGGAAGAGAGCACACTCAGTACACTCCCTGAAATAATCGAAGTGGAGAATGGCTCCTTGGACTACCATTTTCCAAATACCAAACAGGTCGTGCCATGATTATTTCAGGGAGTCCCCGATGTTCTTTTGGGGGAGCAGAGTAGACTCTGTCCCCAATTATGTTGTAGTGAAAGACTGGGAAAGACAATGTCGTGGTTCTGTCCTGCCAGGGCTTACGGCTTAGGGCCCCTGGCCACCGAGTTTGGAGGGACATCGCAGGCCCTTTGAGCGCGTAAAAAATTACACTATGTGTATGGTGTAGGAGTGTAGGAGTCTTGTGTTGAAAGGGGCCCCGGGTAACCATTGAGAACCACATATCCTGAAGACATGCTCTTTCAAGGGCTCAACACAGAAAAGCAAAGTAAAAGAAAGGCAAAGCCGGGAAGGAACGGGACGAAACGAAACAGAGACTTACTCGGAGTAAGGAAGGAAAGCACACGAAAAGAGAATAAAAAGAAAGGACAAGCACGAAACACGAAAGACAAAGGAGAGAAAAGGCATCGAAAACGAAAACTAAAGACCAGCGAAGAAAGGAAAAGAAGGAAAAGGAAAAGAATGAAAGGACAAGGCAAAGGAAGCACAAGAAAGCAAAGAGGTGAAGCAGAGGACAGAAAAAGACAAGGAAACGACAGACCAAGCCAAAGCAAAAGCCCCGAAAAGAAAAGGTAACGAAAACACAAAGAAAAGCATGGAGGGCAGTGCTATGGATATGAAGCCAGAAGAGGACAGCAAAACAAACACATGAAAGAAAGATAAAGAAAGTGAGAAGAGGCCGAACCAAAGAATGAGAAGCAATGAACAGGGAAGAAGAAAAAACAAGAAAAAGAAAAGAAACCAAGACACTTGAAAACACCTGTTGATACGAACTGGCCCGTGAATCTATCGACGGCCCAAGAATGGGATGTCGCACGGTGCTTCCGAAGTCCTGAGGTCCCGAGGTCCCGTGACGGACTCGGAGCGAGCGAAATGAGGGATCCAAAACGAGTGTGGAACATGGAACCTGCTGTAAGATGAGGGTAGGTGATATCGTTTCATCGGTATACTCATCAAAATGGAATATACGTAGTTCTTTATAAAAGGGTACATCGCTTGTGATGTGTTGCTGCTGAGGTGAACCCTTTCGAAAGTTGCGACGACGCCATCAGTGACACAGATACGCAGTTGGGGTTAGGTCACACTGGTGGATTGCTGGGAAAAGCGGGTTGATAGAAACGACCGTTTAGATCGCAAGGTCTGGATACTCTGACGAACACTTCACATGGAAGCGGAGGGCACCCCCTGTTTCTAGAGGAAAGTAGTATTCCAATGGGGACCATGCCATCCATTTCCATGTTAGTCAGTCAGAGGGCTACTCCCTTCAGAACATGAGCTCATTCAACCAGCGGCGTGTCTCCCTTTTCCCAGAGTCAGCCACCCTCCCACCCTTCGGACTGGGGCACTCAGCTTCAGCATCTCCTGCACACCACGCCGCGCCACACGACGCCGTGCGCCGTGCCACCCGAACGGAACCCGAAGCCATCGGTGCCGTGGCAGTCCGAAGAGACGATGGTGCCAAAAGGTCACCCACACCTCTCTTGGTTCTTTGATGGTTCTTGTTCCACGATTCTTCCGACATGTTCATGGTTGCTACATGGTCGTACCGAAAGCGTTCGTTTGCCGGAGAACAGGATCCACGAGGGCTTTTTCGGCTGCACGATGTTGCAGGTCTCTGGGCGAGAGTTCTGAGTTCTGAGTTCAACATAGTTCAACCCAGGTGGAGATCACCTGCAGCTCTTCAGCGACATCCCCTTCCCACCTCGGGAGCCAGGTCTTTCAATCCCAGGATCTGGTCCACATGCTCGGCGCGGTGCTTCAGAAGCAGCTCATCCCGCGTCGCTTCCCTGGCGTCGGATGTCGAAAAAAGGACTCTCCCAGTCTCCCAGAGACCATTCTGGGAACTTGAACATGCTGGGCTCATCTGGACTCGCTGGGCTCATCTGGACTCTAGGCATCTCTAGGCATTGCGGCTGCGCGGTGTTTCCGCTATTTGGGCAAACTGTGGCAACCACTTTCGCAAGGGTATTTGGACGGCTTACTCTTCCTTGCCCACACATGTCCATACCAAGCCCTTGAGGTGGCCCATCTTTTTGGATGTAGGCCATATGGCTCATTGTCGCCATACAGTCCACGAATCTTCTTGGGAACGCGATGCAAATGACAGAACCATATATAATGGATCACTCTGCCCGATGAACGTGTCTACGTCTCTCCACATGCAACTATGAACAATCGCTTTGCATATGGCGTCTTCATCATTTGTACGATCTGCACCAAAATCCAAGAAGTGCTGAAAATGCCGGGACTTCTAAGCCATTCTGGACTATGTATTCTTCCAACTGCATCCGTCGGCACCGAAGAAAAACCGTCATGACCGGTTTGTTTCTCCAAGTCTTGGACCAGCAACCCTCTGGGAGTCGAGACGCTCCAAAATCCCGTCAAAAAGCATGAAAGGCTCTGCGGGTTTGGGATTGCCAATAATTGAGTCCCTGGTTTGAATCCGATTCATTGTCATTGTTCTACCGGCTTCTCAACTTCAAAAAAAAAAGAAAAACACCGCAGGTGGTGGTAGAAGGATCAAGTCGAAAGAAAGGTCCTTCTGGTCGCCCGTTCTTACCTCCCAGACTTACTTCCCAATGCCCCCCACCAAACCACCCGACTCCGCAACCTCGACTCGGAGTTCCCGACTTGCTGGCCGCGCCTCGCCGGCAGGCGCACACATCGCTGCGCCAAGCCTTGTTGCTCCAAGTGTTCAAAGACCCGAAGCACCCGCAGTGGCTGCTCCGGATGCGAGGCGTCCTGCGAACCAGTGAGGTCCCGGTCAGCCGTGTTGGGGTCACGAACACGTGCCTTTCTTCCGAGCGTTTTGGGTTCGGGGATCCCTGGGAGTCTTGAAATCGACTGAATCAGAGTCGACCCCACGGTTGTCCATCTCGTTTGCATCCAGTTGAAAACTCCCATTGGATGTGGACTTTGTATGACTTGGTCCTCCATCTCCCTTTCGCCGCTGAGAACCCCACCGCTCCCACCGGCGCTCTGAACACCACCGGTGAAACCGTGGAAGATTCCTGGAACAGCACGGCAACAAATGGATGGACGTGTCCTGGTCAAATCGCCCGTTCCGTTTCGTGCCGGTCCAATGATCCAACAGAAACAGACCGACCTTGGAAGAAACTTCCATGACCTGGCCTGGCAGTCTGGTTGCAGGTATGTACAGCAACCGGGCTTACTGGACCAAAGTTTCACTAATTTGGTGTACCAATTACCCTCAGAGGTCAAGATTAACTCCAATTGGTGGTGGATGTCTTAAGACAAGCTGTTTTTAAAACAACCATACAAGGCACTGGTTCCTGGCTCTCCACCGTTGCAGTGGCACCGTTTTGGAACCTCTGTTTCCAGGCGCCTGTCCTCCAGGTTGCGGTGCTTCGCCATACGTTCATCGTAGAAGAGCCCCACCACATTGTCCGGAGTCTCTGGCTCGCCGCCTCAGGCAGGAAGTTCGATGGCAGGAAGGTCTCCACACTGAAAACTGTTTGAACTCGGAGAACTCATGTGTTCATCTTCTCAATGGTGGAAAATTCTATTTGTAATAGACCGTCCTTCGGACACACGAAGTCCAAAAATGACCAAGGTGGACTACCCTATGGTAGTCGTGGTAGTCGTGAAGTACCAGGTGGGGTAGTTCATGAGTCACGGAGACCAATCTGGGGGTGTTTTCGATCAACTCGGGACAGCGATGAGGTCAGATCTGATCGACGCGTCCCAGCTCTTCTGTCCCATCAGCTCAAACGATCACTCAAACCTGGCATATGGGCATTATACGGGGTTGTTAAGGCATTCCTTGAAACAGTCTATCGGCAAGCACATCAAAGGCTTTTCATCATGGTTCCTTGCTCATCTAGCTGAGACTCCCACTTGCAATACAGACTGTTTTAAAATTGCTTAGAATATACATAAAGGCCATGAGATCAAAACCATCCCAAGACAAAAAAAAACTCAACGCCCCAAAAACAATAGCTGTTAAGGCCCTTACAAACTAAGCAATTTAGATCCATGAATGATCAATGGACATGTGTTCAACCTCCCATGAACGACCGCCACTCCCTGGCGCCAGCGAGTGGCCAAGGTTGAAGAACTGCCGCCGCAGCCGAGAGGTGCGGCGCCGGGCCGGCCACACCGTTGAAGAGCGCCCTGGGATTGGCAGGTTTCATGTGAATTGTATCTATACTTCACCGACTTCAACTGGAATTTAAAAGGATTGGCCGGCGAAGGAATCCAGTCTATAATACAATCGTGTAAACTCCTGGTGATATTTCACGTCCCCCCATATGAAGGGGTTGTTCAATCCAAATGGTGGGGGTTGTTACGGTTGTTAATCATTATATAATCAAGCGTCTACATTGGCTTGGGCATAACTTGAAGATGATGAGAGCTGCGTTCGCAAGAGATGGACATCAAAGCAAAGTAAACTCTTGCGCCCTAGCAACAGGTTCCTTTCCTTTGTTTGATTGTGTTTTCCTGGCGACATGTTCCTTCATTGGTTCTTTTCCCTGTATTGTTGCTTTTCTTATTCGGTGGACATGTTCTTTAAGGCACATAACCTCTTGCTCTTGGCATCGCTTGACCTTTCTATAAAAGTTGGTTGCTCTTCTCTCAGTTATCTATTAGAAAAGTCCTTCTTCGGCGCGTAGCCGTGTAGCCGCCTTCCTTTCCTTTCATTTCCTTTGCTTTGCTTTGCTTGTTTCCCTTTATTTCGTTGTTCTTCTGTGTCCTTTCGTTATCTTTCCTTGCCTTTCTTTGTTTCCATCATATATTTGCTCCGGCCTCTTTTCTTTTCCTGTCTTTCCTTTGCACCCCCGTTCTTCCTCTTCGCTTTTCCTTTTGCACCGTGTTTCCCCACCCCCTCCGCGCCACCAATCAGGAGCTACAGACCACTTGGCTCAGTTGGCTCTCCCCAAGGTCAAAGGCTTAAGCTCGCATGATTCACCGTTTCAGGAGGGTGTCTTTGAGGACATCAGTTCATATTGACTTCCAAACACGATTCTACATGCTTCTAGTTCCGAATATCAAAGCATCAGATTTGATGTTCTTGATGTTTCGATCACTGGCTATCAGTCCTAATCCTCGCCCAGATGCCCAGGGTGGCTCGCCGGCCCACTAGAAGGCTCGTCACTGCCAGCACCACCCGTTGCCGGCTCAGCGCGCCCTCTTTGCGCCAAGCACTGAGAGGGTCAGCACCTCGGTGCGAAGAGCCGGGAAGGGCCGTGCCCAAACCAATGGGACGAAAGGAAATCAGCCAATTGGCTGGGAAATCTTGAGGATGTCACTTAGGGTGATTTCACTTCCTTTGTGTCCCCAATGCCCCAAAGTATGTTGGGTCGGGCCCTATCGGTTTCCAGTGTGTTTGCATTGCGCTGCTTTCAATCAAGAAATAGTGTTTCCCCTATCGATTTTGCAAGGTGTTGATCAATTCAGAAATACTTATATAAGCGGCTCATGTCTAAAGCACTTGTATATAGTATATACATGTATACTGTAGAGCGTTCTTCACAACAGAAGCAAATGGATTTGGTCAACTCCTTGGCAGCCTTCTTGGCTGAGGCGGTCATTCCGTTACAGCCACAGAAAGCAAAATCTCTCGTCTCCCACATAGGATCTTCGGATCCTCTATGTTTGGCGCCTTGAAAAAAGGAGTGCGTGCCGGAGCATGTGCCCCTCCCGCTTCAAGGAACCTCCACACCACCCAAGGACTAACGATTGGACATGCCCAAGCAGGGTCGATTGACGGTGCATAAGCAAAGAACGCCTCAGATTGACCCTTAAAGATCTGAAAGGAAACCTCCCCAAATTCTTCTAGATTGAACCCTGAAAGCCTCTATTCAATCCATGGTTTGATGAAAAAGACATCCCTAGCGTTGAAACCAAGTCACTGGGCACGTGGGCCACGGAGTCTCCGCTGCACGCCACGGTTTTCCATGCGCTCGGCACGGCGCCATGCCATGGAGTCTCCATCACGGCGGATGGAGGATGGGAGCAGACGGTGGAGAGGACCAAAGCCAAGAATGTTTTGAGTGGGCTCTGATTTTGTTGAAAAGCAGAGAGGTCTGTTTTTAGTAGTTTGCATGATTTGTTGAAAAAGGCGGAAAGGTCTGCTTTCATAGAACCCGCTGGAGGCGGCCACCATGTGTTCAGACCCTGTGGGTTTCCACACCGATCGAGTGTGACTTCACCCTGGGATCCGTAGGATGTGGGACACAAAGTTATTGACTGAGATTGACTGGTTCATCCTATTCCAACACCTGCGAAGAGGTTGAGGTTCCAAACCTTTTGGCATCCGCATGGCCAGTGACGGCCGGACGGCCAGTGGTTCTTGGGGAAATACCTGCGAGAGCGTCAAGATGACAGAGCCCGTTGTCTTTCTGGAAATGTCTAGAAGAGTTAGTGGAGGAATTCAAGTAACTCACCAAACGAATGTCTAGGGTAGAGTCAGTTGAGGGTAGTATGGGAGACCCACTCTACCCCTGAAATCCTCTGAACGCATCACCCTTGACAGAGAGCTATGGAGCCTGCCTGTTTCCAGGGCCAGTACCTACATTGACATCCAGGGCGCCCGAATCAGGGTGATCTGTCTATCAACTTGATCTGTTGGCTACAGCGGCTCAAAACCACTTTGTGGTGCAATCTCTTTGTGTCGCGAATTTGTCTCAAATAAAGACGTGTGGTGCGAGCTCGCTGGTTTGTGACAACAGTCACCCGACAGGCATTGTGCCCTTTCGATGCTCTTCCGTGCGGATGTTCTGTCTCGGCTCACACCAGGGGAGCTTGAGAGGGGTGCGCACCCTGTTTTGCGTCTGGTCCAAACGGATCAACATCAAACGCGGTCCAAGCAGCTTCTTCCGCCAGACCAGCCTTTTTCTGCAACTTGACCATCTTGATGGCCTCAAGTCTTCTGCTCCAAGTTGGTATGGACCATCAAGAAGTGTTGTGACTTCAACGACCACTGTTGTGTTCTTACTTCCTATCCCAAAACAACTGACCACAGGCGCTGGCCCGTCTGCGATGTTGGGCCAAAGTGTGAACCACAAGCATAGAAATATATAATTGGTGAAAATTGATGATACATCAATTATAAAGTTTCCACAGTAAGCATATCATCAATTAGTATAATGGTGATAAACAATACAATTATGGAGCTAAATTGTTACATCACTGCGCCGTCAATTACAAGTAAGCCAGCTCCATAGTGATTGTTACAGCGGTCCTCAAGTGGACGGGAAGGTGATCTTACTATTCATGGGTCATGAACGATCGTGATCCTTTTGATGAAATTGTCCGAAGAATGACCCATCCATCTGTTGGTATGACCACGTATCACCCTGCACTTTGTCAAAAACTGCTCTTGCCGTATAGTTTCAGCCGGGGGACTCTGACCCTGAGCTCCTGCCTAATTGGAACTCCACCAACAATGACCCCCGAGAACCCTGTGTTTTCACCCTTTTGTATCCTTTTGTTACTTTTCCTCCTGTATCAGCCCGAGTCGGAAAGTCCTTGCAAACCCTCAGCGGCGAGGCCGACGTGCAGATCCTCTTGCTGCAGTTCCATCCCTCAAGCAATCGAGTCCATGTCTTGTAACGCGCGTAGGCCCTGGACCGTGTGTGTGAGTGTGTTGCTGGGACATGGTCCTGTGTTCCTGCCGTCTGTCAACCGGTCCCGTGGCGACGAAACGGGCCATGTCCGCCGGTAGAGGGTCTCCCAACGTGTCCATATCTTGCCCTTCTTGGGGTTTGGCCGACATCGGGGGAAAACCGCCATGGCCGAGATGCGTAGTCCTTGTTGGACTGGAGCTTTCGAACCTGATCGAGAACAGGCATTGGAAGTCGGTAGAAGCATGTGGACATCACACCTTGACGAGGACATCACACCTTGACGAGTTTTGGACCCATACGGCTGTGGGGTCAAAACCCTACCCTGCTTACCTGGCTCAGCTCTCACCACTCAACAGACAGGCCTTCAAGCCTTCCAAAAAAGAAAGTGGGAAGTGCGAGTTGCGTGGCTGGAGCCCCCGCAGTCCGCCCTCCCGGCACAGACGGCCCGACGTTCCCTGTTTCTCGGCAAGTCGAATCACGTCCAGGTCTTCTCCCTCCCGATGTGAAGCTGGAGCCTGACGTCCTGGCCTCCTGGAAGATGGTCTATAGCTGCACCCCAGTGGTTTTCAGGGTCCGGATCGTTTTTTTGAGGGGGTGGATCAGCTTTGTAGATGCTGCGGTGGCTGTCTCCGCGTCCGAAAACTGGCTCAAAGTGCGCTCTCGGCCTCCAGCCACGCACGGCGCATGCGCACCCGGTGTTTTTTATCTTGTTCTTCTTCTCTTGGCCCTGCCACTGTGGTGTAGTGTGTTGTGGGTGGTTCTCAGCGCCATTTGCAGGTTGCTGAGGTTGTTGTTGCACTTGTTGTGGTCTTTGTGGTGGACCACACAACCAGGTCTGATTTGTTCGACCTGGTCATTGTAGAGTTGTCTGTGGAAGTATGCTTGGTTGGGGAGTCCTGTGCCTCTGCTGAGCTTCAGGTACTCCCAATTGTGTGTGCGTGGCCACTTTGTGAGGCCACCTGGTGTGTAGGGTGTGTAGTTGCTAGTGTATGTTGTGTTGTGGGATGTGACTGACAAGGCCTCCTCCTTCCACTCCAGCCCAAGTCAAAACGCCAGCATGGTGCTCCACAGGACTAGCTTCACATTTTAAGCAATCTTCGACAAATGCGCAGCGGCTTCAATCCATGGTGAGGAGACTGCCACCACTGGTGCAGTATAAGTACATCCATCGCGGTGTGCAAGTTGCTTTGGTACCCAAACCCTGGCCAAATCAGTCTTGATTTGTCCGAGGTCTGAGTAGCATCAGCACATCATCAAAGCAAGAGTGGACCTTATTCGACCGTGCCAAAAGGGCACCTAAAGAGTGGCTCCTCCACATCCCACGCTGACCATTCGTCCGTCCCAGCATCGCCGCTGGACTGCTGCTTCAAAACGAGGTCCATGGGTCGCTCAGACGCTTTGGGTTCGGGTTCGAGTTCGCTGCGCAGCCAGATTGAGGGGCCACGAAGTTGGATGGCCCTCTGCAGATCTCGGTGTGTGACTTGGTGAGTACATGTACTTCTGATTAACAAAGCTCAACCCAGATATGGATTGGAAAAAATTATTCAGGCTTGGGGGGGTTGATTCATCAAGAGTCGACATTGGATGTTAGTATGATGTATCTTTGAAGCCACAGCTGGTTGCCGGCAACGGCCTGCCGGCCTTGCCGGCCACCCCACCATTTCGCCCGCTTTCTCCAAGGTGCCAGCTTGCATCCTTCGGCCGTAGGCTTTGCCTTGAAGACCGTGCCAAAGCCCCCCTCGCCGATGGTGCTATCAATGCCTCATCGACATGAGTGGTCGAAACTCATGGGACCTTGCAACATGCTGTTCTTGGACACTCTCCTTTAATCTCTAAGATGCTATTTATAGACACCTCTTAAGGTGTCTCTCCTGGTGTGTGTGGGTCGTTGCGGTGGGGGCCCTGGGGGGGGGTTGACAAGAGAACCCATGCACACCCATATCGAGGGATGTTGCAATCCTTGCCAAACCAAGCATTGGCCCTTCTCGCATGTTGGCAGGAAAGAAACGCCGTGGTGTCCACGTTCGTGTGCCATGGTGCTGTGCATGCAGGTCATGTTTGAGTTGGCTGGGTTCTAGGTATACATCTAATCCAGAACAGGGACAGTAGAATATCAACATAAGAACCATCGTAACATTGCATAGTATACCCTAAGACTCCTTGGGCCCTCCATGGCCGGGCCCGACACCGAAACGCAGGGGTCCGGACCCTCAAAAACCCTATGGTGTTTATCTATATATTAATTATCGAATCTTATCCATCAGTCTTTGCGATCGGATTCTGGGTGGAACATTGGGAACACCGGGCGATGGAGGACGTCGGGGGGTGGTAGACACCCCACATCCACGGGGGGACAAAGCCATCCGTATATCCGTGTTTCGGGTGTGGCGTTCGTTTTTTCTGTATCCAATTTGGTGGCGTTCGGGAGTGGTGGTTGTTTCGGATTGGAGGGATGGATCCTCCTGGCGGTCACTCAGTCACTCGGTCTCGTTTCTGCAGCCCAGGTGCGGAAGAACTCGCTGATGTGACCTGAGGTGACGTCGACTCACTCGGCGTCGAAGCAAGCAGGATCAGCAAAGACCCCCCCAGTGGACCTCAAGCACTAAGGTCTGGTGGACTCTTGATGAATCAAACCCCCCCGATTTGGATCCAAACCTCTTCACACGCTTGGTGGGGGTTGACCGGACTTCAACCAAAAAGAGCAGATTAAAGTCAGAAAGATAAGATCTCTCCATATCACCCGCCTATCACGTCGCCAGAAGTCCATCCCAACAGACTTTGAAAAAGACACACAAAGACCAAAGACTTAGCGCAACAAGCTTCGACTGAGGAACATGTCTTGTCTGGTACATCATGCAAATGAAGCTTTCCTAATAAGGATGCATAACTCGCATCTCAGGGTGTGTCCCTTCTTACTGAGTGGATTGCGATTTATCGGTTCGAAGGTCTTTGCTTCAAGATAGCACATACTGTCTGTTGAGATGCAGGTTACACTCATTGGACTGTCTGAAGAAGGATCGACTGTCACATCGAGTTGGATTGTGTCTTTGTTTGGACGTCCCCGACGCGCCAGTTTGTCCCAGTGCCGTCTGACTTAGGTTCTAAAAAATTGCATGCGAGCGCGTGCTCATCATGCTCAGCTGAGCTTATCTTTAAAAAGTTTTTCTGGTTGGATGCAACCATGCCATGCCGAGTCCATTCATTTGGAGCTCGTCCGAAGCTTGCGCGATATAAAGTGGGTTTCTCAAAACAGGATGCGATGAAAATCTGCCTGGACGACCCCGTCCTTGAATTTGGCCTTCGACTTCCATCCGGAGACATGTGGATCCCCAACCCAACCTCAGTCCATCCTGCATCGGTCAGAAAACCTGTCCGGTGAAAAAAAAGAAAAAGGTTCCCCCTTTCCCATCGGTGACTTGCTGTGACAGATCTTCGGTGACTTGTTCAACAGGTGGTTCCGAGGCTCGATCAATGATGTCGCCCCCGTGCCATGGGGTCAACCATGGGGTCGATACCCGGTGCCCCACGGGGCCCCTGAACTTGGTGGTTTCACTTGGAGATCTATTTTTGTTCCTCCTCTCCTCATCCACCAGCGTATATAAACTAGGCCATCAAAAGAAGCGGTCCCGGTGGGATTCGGCCCTGGAGTTGGCGAGCTTTTCGGAGGTGGCCTGGTGGCCTGTGTCCATGCAGAGAAAGCAATCAAAGCCACCCCCAAGGGGCGTCACAACATATCACAACAAAGCGGGAGAGGTTCAGGGTTGAGGGGTGGAGAGAGCTGTTGCGTGCAGAGAGTTTAGCGTGTTGCATGCTCCACCCGGCTTTTTTCCAGCCAAAGGCACGGCCAATCAACAGAAAGACATGATCTGGCTGAATCTGGGACAAGCGACGAGAAGACCCAAAGAGGGCAACAACAAGCAGGGCAGATAGCGAGGGAGTTGGAACATGTCAACAACTTGGATTTGAGTCTCAAACTGGTGAAGTAAAACACAAATCCAAATGGGTGTGGTATTTTGGAACCTCTTTTCAAGAGCTGGTTGTAGACTGTGTGTGTGGGGGGGGTTCCCCGATTTTGGGGGATTCTGAAAGACGAAGCCATCAACCCCTCGCGCCTTTATCTAGCTGGCCGAGATATTGATATGAATACAGTTAGAGTTACCGAAACCGGATGGTTTTGGTCCATTACTAAGTGTGACTAGCATCGAAACGAGTTTAGCTGTAGATAGTCTAGAATCCCATTGGCAAACTTTTGCATTATTCACCCAGTATACCCAACCCAAACAAATCAGCTCCCATCTCAGCACCACAAGCCACACCTCTTCTTCCTCTTCCCTTCCGTTGCCCCCATAAACAAAAACACCAGAAAGCCGGCCCCAACGCCACGCCGTGCTTAACGACGAAAAAACGAAAACACCGCGCCGCGCCGCGAACACCGCACCGCCGGGGGGGAGGGGCGCCTCTTGGAGCCGTGAGCGAAGCCGCAAGACCGCTTCATCTTCTCCGGCGCTGTCCATACGCAGCTTCAGCATCCTCGCCACCGAACGACCGACATCGTCGGTCGATGAAGGGTTGGAGCGTGTTTTTGGGTGTCTAAAACTTCAAGGTTCACCCAGTGTTGTTTGTTTGAGCTATCTCAAAAGCAGCGCTTCCCAATACTCTGGCAGGTTAGTCGCTGTTTTACGTCTGGGATGCTTGTGACCGATACGGAACAGGTTATGATATGTCATTATAAGGCCCTACGAGTACTACAGTTGCCATCAAATGTGCTTCGGCATGTCTCTTTGCTGCGTGCCGGCCTCAGCTTTTTGCAACACCATGAGCACGGGCCCCGATTCCGCGAGTATACGATCGGCATGGCTCACGCAACCGGGTCGTCTGCATGAAACGGGTGACGAACTTGTGTGGAAATCCGGTGTGATGGCTACCGTCATAGTGGGTCTCTTTTCCCATTTCGCCCTCAGCTCACGGGGTCAATTCGGTTGCTGCAGTTGCTACACCTACACCTACCAAAAGCAGCACATTCTTGTTTTGAAATCTGCATGCAAAAAGACTGGTCACAGGACAAGTATTTGCCTCCTGAGTTCCATGTGTTCTGGTTTGCGCAGAGTTTTTGTTTGAAATCTAATGGCCTAATCCTTCATCTTCACAGCTCCCTTCCTGTTTGTCTTTATTTCAGTCAGGCCACGAGCCAGAGCTACCGGACGAGGAAAAGGGTGCTTTTTCAGTGAGCCACTGCAAATGCTTCTATTTTGATTTACTTTGCGTAGAGAATCCTGTAGGACTGTAGGGCCCCATGCACCCATTTCTTTTTGAAGTACTGCAACTGCTCGTTCGTCCAGTCCAGCAGTTTCAAGGCGAAACAGCACGGATGTTATCCCACTTCAATGATCCAACTCCGCCAGCAGTGATCCCAAACCAAGTGGTCTGGGAAGTCCTTTTCTAGATGCTCATGTTTTCTCTGCAAATGAACGGTCTGTTGATTTACCCAAGGCTGTTGATCGACCAGAAACCCAAAAGCTTTTCGAAGCCAACTTCAAGCACCTGATCCTCAAAGCCTCCCCGGTCAACCCTTCAGTGTTTGTCACATACAGCAACGTTGGAAAGCAGAATTGGTCAAGTTCCACAAGACCAGCTGTCAACCCCAATCCTTTCCTAGTAGGCTCGATTCAATGTTTTACCGGGTGAACGAGAACCTCCTTGTCAAATTCAATGCCCATAAGAAAGTCGTCGAATTGGGAGACCTGCACCCTTCTGCCTTTGGGTTTTGTTCACACGCTCACTTAGATGCCAAGCAATAACCTCGTTCATGACGAACTAGCCAATGGCACCGTCCTATTCGCGAAAGCCAACTTTGTCAGTCAGTGAGGCCTCCAAGAAGAAAGAAGTGCAACAGTGCAACATCCAACAAGTTTGGAGCAAAAAACTACGGTACAAAAGGAGCGGAGCTTTTTGGGCTCACACCCCAGTGAACCTACATGGGAGTCATAGGATCCCTAACCCTTCACAAGTGGCAATGTTCATATGAGTTTGGGTGAGAGTCAATCAAAAGTTCGCACCTCCCAAAGAGACATCAAGCAGTCGGCACGCAAGCGATGTTTTCCAAGCGAAACAAAGAGTACATCACTGGAGAAGCAAGGTGCTCAGCCCCGACGACAGTGACAAAAAGAACAGCCTTAAAGGGCTCTCTTCAACGTCCTTGAAGACCCATAAGAGCTGGCAAAAAGAGACTTGATCTTGGATCTCCAAACATGGGATCACCCCCCAAATTCGCGGAAACAAAAATCAGTTGAAGTGCGCACGTTTGCAAGCTTCCCTGTCTCTTCGCAGCACAAGTTCGTTGATTTCACGCCACTCTTCGCCACGAAGCGATACGCTTGTCTCTGTTGTATCTTCTAGTTGGAATTCAAAACCACCAGTCTGTCGCTGTAGCCCCCGCGTGCACTTGGAGATATAGTTGCGTTTAAGACCAAGTTCATGCGCCGCACATGTCATGGAGTGATGCCAGGTCCACTTCTCATTGCTCCCATGAGGCCGGCTCCAAACAGGCTTTGCGGTGGTTCCATGCCCCAGGGTGGAGGCTGCGTAAAAATGTGCCATGTTTTCACTTTGAGAAACCCACTCGAGATTGTCTGCTGCATTGTTGCTTTTGTCAAGGTCCTTGTGGTTCACCAAGGTTTTGCTCTCAGTTTGCGGCGGCCCAAGAAAGGCAAAAGCCACAAGGCGATGAACAAACACACTCTCGCAAAGTGAGCTGATGCACACCTTTGTATTGCAGTAACCCTGTCGGGTCAAACATCCTTGGCTTATAAACCCTCTCTTCGATGTTATGCGGCCAAAGGAACTTACCATCCTTCCGGGCACTTCAGCACCTGATCTTGGATGGACCATCGGGCGCCATTCTTCTCCAGACAGCCGTAGCCCCCCTGCATCCTGGAACCTAAACTCGTAGCACTTGTTGTGGCAACATCTCACTAATCCGGTCCACCTATTTAAAAACACGCGGCCCCCCCCAATGAGGAAACCTCGGTCGCCTTTTTCATTAAAAAGGGGGTCCCTGAAGTCGGTGTGGTCTAAAATAGGGTCACCTGGGAAGGGCTTCAAAACCAAAAAGTCACCCAGGAAAATTTTAAATAAAATCCTTTATTAAAATCGTATCAAAAATTCAACAAAACGCCAGATCGAAGGGTCTTCCTTTTCCCCTACAAAAGCCTTTATTAGAATAGTGATTCTTCATTAGACTAACAACTATATAAAGCTTTCGAAAGGTGATGTCGCTGTGCCATGCGGTTTTGCGTGACCTCGGTGGAAAGTGCGTTTGCGTGAGTCCGTGCCATTGGGGGAAGGAAAGCCTGCTGATGCAAACACGGCGTGTCATGGTGGATAGCAGGGTGGACAGAGGTGGGCAGTTACGGTTGTTTTTTGAACCTAACTAAAAAATAGAATAAAAACTCCTCCAAAAGCGGCCATGTTTGTAGTTTAGTAGCGGTTTGAAAGGGCGGCAATTTAAATACGAACATAAACCGTATTTAGGGGTTTCCGACATATTTTTTTTTAAATAGGGGTCCGTGTTTTAATAGGTACTCGGGATTGTTCGGTCATTGTGAATGCCAAGTTGCTGCGCAAATGCACATGTCCAGTTTGCAGGCCCAACAGGTCTCCACAGAACAGCCTTCGACCTTGCGGGCCCATTGCTGCGCGTCAAACGGCTGGAGTATGAGTGCCGCACGTTTTCGCTTGGTGTTACATACCTCAGATTGTCCAAGCGATTGTTGGCTCGGTTGCCATCCACATGGTGTACTTGCCAGGCTTCTGAAGATTTGGGAAGCCCATGAAATGTGATCTTGACCAAGCGATGAACTCTCCACTTCTGCCGCCAAATCTCAACGATTTTGTATCCACTTGAATGCAAATAACCACTGGAAATGATTCCTCTGCTATCACAAACCCGGCCATGCGAGCTCACCTGCCAACCAGTTTTGGGACTTGGAAGCAGCTGACTGGTGAAGAACCGCACCGCATTTTTCTTCCAAAAGGACACTGCCACAAATCCTGGCCATGTCAGCATTGCAACAGGGTCCAAGGTGTCCAACTTTGAGATTCCTTGCGACGAAAAGCACAAAAAGCCCACAGCTTGAAGCAAACGTGAGGTTTGGCTCAGAGCTCTTGATAATTAATGGCACGGTTCTCGAGTCTAACCAAGGGAACGCACTATATAATTGTTCCCTGCGCACTTTTACTGAAGCTAGAATTTCAGTTGACTGCTTCAAAGCATTGCGCACTTGTGAGTTGTAACAGTTACATAAGCATATGTTTGAATCATTGGAACGTGTCAGTTGTGTCTCGCTTTCAGGAGCCAGCTGCTTCAGGCAAAAGAAGGAAGCTATATAGAAGCTGTCAAACTGAAGGTCAACTGGTGCTTGCAATTGAAGTCTTCTGGAGCGATTCCCATCATCTAACTTCTGACCTTTCGTTGACCCAACTGACATTTTGTCGGGAGCGAAACATAGATAAACCACCACTTGCACTTTGAATCACTTTGACATCTTTGAGGGAACGCTTTGGGGGGTATTGCTGGGACATGTTGGGACCTCGCACACATCTTGACCTTGCAGCTTTGAAGGATCAAGGCCCTAGATTTTCCTGCTTGACCAACTGATTCACTGCATGGTAACTAGCAAAGGTGTATATATGATTCAAGAATCCAACACGCTCAAAATCCAAGTGCGCGCCGCCACCTGTCGTTCTAGAACCCATTCAGATCGTAGTTGCAAGGCTTCCAGCGAGCAATCCAATGCAAGGGCGCATATTAATATTCCTCATCTGACACACCGCCGTACACCTGTCATCCTCAGCTATAAAGATTGCGATTTGTTCGCCAAAAACATCCTCATATCAAGCTCCAAGGTCCGCATGCGGTTCACTGTCAGTACAGGACATGCTAGGCCAAACTGCGATTTCCCATATGTTTCTAACAAGGGCAAGCGGTTGGAGCAACAAGCTCTGTCTGCCAAGCCAACGGGATGAGCGGCTCTGCCGCATGAAAAAAACTCGCCCCAAGGCAACTCAATTCTCCGCAAACACACACTGGAAAGAAAACAGCTCAAGACCATCGTCGGCGCGCCTCTCTGTCTCTTTCAAGTAACGGCAAATGTATCTCTCGCCACTCTTCGCCAGGGAGCAAGGCGTCTGCCTGATGCGCATCTCGGAACTCAAACCCGCCGGTTTGCCACTGCAGCCCGTGGGTGCATCGGGAAATGCTACGTCGGCAAAGGCCAAGTTCACTTGCGGCACTTGTCCTGGAGCGATGCCACCTCCACTCAGCGTCAGTTCCATGGGGCCGGCTCCAAACAGGCTTTGCCGTGGTCCTACCCTCACGCCCCTCACGGATGGAGGTTGCATAAAAGTGAAAGAGATTTTCAGCCGGAGAGACCCACTCCAGATTGTCCACAGCATTGTTGCCTTTGTCCAAATCTTTGTGATTCACACAGGTTTGGTGAGCCGAAGGCGACGGCCCAAGAAAAGCAATTGCTACCAGTCGATGAACAAAGGAGTTCTGGCTTTGCACCTGCGTCGTGTAGTAACCCTTTCGAATCAGGTGCCCCCTACCTATCAACCCAGTCCGTGACGTGACGCGGCCAAGAGAACTGACTTTCCGTCCCGGCACTAAAGCTCCTGATACCGGATTGACCATTGGTCTCCATTCTTCTCCAGGCAAAGCAAAGTCGCACTGGTCTCGGAAGCTAAACTCGTAACCTCTAGCTGCAGTATTCTTGTGGCAGCATCTTGACACAGTTTCTCTGCTCATGCCCAGCTGTTGAGCTGCTGCTGTGACAGAAGGGTTTCTTATCCAGTTCGCAGACCCAACAGGTCTCCACAGCACAGTCTTCGATTGCGCAGGCCCACACGTGCACCTCGAATGGCTGGAGTATGAGTGCCGCACATTTTCGCTTGGTGTTACATACCTCAGGTTGTCCAAGCGGTTGTTGGCTCGGCTGCCATCCACATGATGCACTTGCCAGGCTTCCTCAGATATGGGAAGCCCATCAAAGGTGATCTTCACTACGCGATGAACTGGCCACTTCCGCCCGCAGATTTGAACGGCCTTGTAACCATCTGCTTGGAGAGAGCCGTTGGAAATGACTCCTCTGGTGTTGCAAAGCCTGCCAAGTGAACTCACCTGCCAACCCTGTTTGGGGTGGTGAAAAGACTCGCTGGCAAAGTGCTGCAATGCTCGTGGCCAGCAACAGCGCACACACCATGCTCTCCGCGTGCCCTGCATATAAAACCTACAATAGGTGCTAGTGTATAATGGATTGTCGCATTATGTTGAATTAAACAGCATGGAAACACCATCAAAGTTGTCTTTTCACCGCACACATTGTGACTAAACTCTTACAGTACATAAACCATGAAATCATCTACAAATTGTGGAACATGCAGGGGAAAAGAATACAGGGCAGTGGGAACCAAGGTCACAAAGTTTCCCATTGATGTCGACTGTTTTGCGGGTGCGGGTCAAGAATAAAACCCCCCAAGCATTCCAATACAATAAGGTGACGGGACTGCTAATTCTTCAAGACACCTTCCAAATGTCACATCAACATCCCCAGGCACAGACCGCAAAGGCAGTATCGCTTCGCTGGAGCTTGAACATGGGTTCTTGCGAGGCCCCAAGGGCAGGGAAGGCCCATGAGTTGGTTGGACAATTCTTTTCGAATCAGGGGACCACTATATACATGGTAGCTCGCGCAATACAGCAATCACAATACCCCATTTTCCAAACCTGCCGGCCACAAAGCAAACTAGTTCAGAACTTGGCACATCTATCATCTAACTAGTCTCACAAACACTGTGGGAAAAGGCCTGGTTTTTGGTAGACCATTCCCTGATTATTGTGTAACAGCTCGTGGAGGAAGCCCACAAGGCAAGGGATTCACAAGCCTCATCGACCCGCACCTAGAGCTTGGTGAACCCCAAGTTGCTTCACTAGAGTCTAATCCAATGTTTCTTCTGGACAAACATGTTTTATGGCTCCGCAGGCAGTGCAGGCATGCACATCATTGTTCTTACAATTGCGCGTTGATGCTGAGAGTCCTTCCCTTAAGCGAAGGCCTTTGCAATTTCAGCCTCTCGCTACCTAAGCTACCTGTGCTTAGGTCGACAAACCCGCGGAGTTCTCTGTCTCTTTGGAGCAGAAACTCATCAACCGTGCACCACTGTTCGCCAGGGAGCAAACAGTCTATCTCCGGAGTATCTGCCAACTGAAATTCAAACCCGCCAGTTTGCCACTGCAGCCCCCGGGTGCACCGGGAAATGCTACGCCTGCAAAGGCCAAGTTCACTTGCGGCACTTGTCATGGAGTGATGCCACCTCCACCTATGATCTGTACCTTGATGCCGGCTCCAAACAGGCTTTGCAGTGGTCCCATGCGCAAGGTTGGAGGCTGCCTGAAAATGAGCTCGGTTTTCTGCCGGAGAAACCCACTCCAGGTTTTCCACAGCATTGTTGCCTTTGTCCAAATCTTTGTGATTCACACAGGTTTGGTGAGCGGAAGGTGGTGGCCCAAGAAAAGCAAAAGCTACCAAGCGATGAACAAGCACGTTGCGTTTGCACGCATTCATTGTCAATCCTGTCGTGTAATATCCCATCAATGTTCTGTGCCCCCTGGATATCAATCCATCCCGTGATGCAACACGGCCAAGAGAACTGACTTTCCGTCCCGGCACTAAAGCTCCTGATACCGGATCCAGCATTGGTCTCCATTCTTCTCCAGGCAAAGCAAAATCATTCTGATCTTGGAAGCTAAACTCATAGCCTTTAGCTGCAGAGCTCTTGTGGCAGCATCTTGACACAGTTTCTTTGCTCATGCCCAGCCACTGAGCTGCTGCTGTGACAGAAGGGCTTCTTATCCAGTTCGCAGACCCAACAGGTCTCCACAGCACAGGCTTCGACTGCGCAGGCCCAGAGCTGCGCCTCAAATGGCTGGAGTATGAGTGCCGGACATTTTCGCTTTGTGTTACATACTTCAGGTTGTCCAAGCGGTTGTTGGCTCGGTTGCCATCCACATGATGCACTTGCCAGGCTTCCTGAGATGTGGGAAGTCCATGAAACGTGATCTTCACTACGCGATGAACCTTCCATTGCTGTCCAAAAATCCGAGCAGTCTTGTACCCACTCGGATGGAGACACCCAAAAGAAACAAAGCCTCTAGTGTCGCAAAGTCTTCCAAATGAACTCACACGCCAACACGTAGTGGGATGTGGAAGCGGCTGAGTGGTGAAGTATCGCAGCACAGTTGGCGAAGAGCAAATCACACCAAGTGATGCACGCCATGTTCTCAGCATTGGAACTTTGCTGAGGTGTCCCTGTGACAACTTCGTACATACAAAGCACCACATGCAACACAACACCCAAATTGAATGGTCCATTACAACCCTTCAAAGAATAAAGGGATCCTTGAACAATTGGCATGCCTGAGGCTTGACTTGCACCAAGATGCAGTACTTCCTATCAACCTGGATTTAGACATGCTCTTCTGCTCTTGAGGCTCGCAAATATTCTCCCAATTTCATCTTCACATACCGGGTCAACTTCTCTGTCTCCCTGTAACCTTGTAGAACATTGATTGCCATCCATGGTGGTGAGCAACCCTTGCACTAAAAAGAACAAGTACTTCGAGTTCCAACATGACAGGCCAGGGGGATTTCAAATCAAGCAGAAAACACTATGGCAACCATTGGTTCATTGCCTACCAGGGGAACAACAAATTTTTGTAGCTACTACAACGGAAAGCATCATTGCTTGCCGACCGGTGGAACGATTGCCCATCTGTCAGGTCTCGTTACCTTCAAGAACATTCCAGTGAACTGAGCACTTGGCATGACCAAAATTGCACGGAAGATTTCCCTAACTTGGCAACCGGGCAAATAAGGAGTCTTGACTGTTGCCGGGTGCAGGGATATCCCAAGGTGCTAATGCATGACTCCAAAATGAAATATGGGTTTGCGAATTCTGAGAAGTTGGTTCAGGAAGAATCACAAGGTTGGAATTCTCCCCATGTTCACACGGTTTTTGGTAAAAAGCAGGAGCCACAAATCCGCCCATAGACCACAATGGCTGCTACTTGAGGCATGTCCTTTTGCTTACTTGCCCTTTGGGATGAAAAAAGGTAAAATAGCTACAGTATGGCTTTTCCTCAAATGCCTCAAACAAACCAGGGAAATCCCTTCTTTCTAAGCCGCAGCCAAGGTACTCACCTCTGCAAAGCCAGTCTTGAGACCTCCTTTTCTCTCCAGCACCGCGACCGTTGTCTTTCTCTCTCGGCGTTCGCTTTGGGTCGTCCAAGCACGACCAAGCCGAGGATAAACAGTGCAGGGAACTGCGAAAACGGCCATTGCAAAAACTAAAGAGCTGGGTGCAAACAACTCAATGGGAGGTTACGTGTCAGCCGACCACAACTTGTTCATATGGTTTTATATATGTTTTATAGTGTGCAATATGTCTGGTGTTCATTGAACTGGTTTCAGTCTCAAATTCTTGTCCAAAAAGCCTCGGTTCAACTTGCGAGTGTGTTCTTGCTGAAAGGAAAATCCCCGAAAACTTGAGGGAGTGTTGGGAGAGTGTGAGCGTTGCCCGCTCACACTATCCCCATGACCTGATCCGTGCAGCTACTACGCAGTTGTAGCTCGGTCAGAAGCACCCAGCATTCCCCAGCGAACCAACTAGCTAGCACAAGAAAGAGTTGTTCTCACTCGGGCACATCATCACAGTTCCCTGGACCTTTGATGTTACACTTGGGGCAGTCTGGATCTGAGCAAGGTCGACACACGAAGCTCTGCGGTCCCTGACGCCAGGCAGCCGCACCGCGCGCCCGGTTGGAGCGGTTGGAGAGGGCTTTACAAGCGGTTGGAGTGCACCAGCTATGGGTCATGGCACTGGGGGACCCTCATGGCACTGGGGGACCCTGGTTTGTCCCACGGAAAAGGAATCGATGTTTGACTGCTTTTTCTCTTGATGTTCACCCACAGGCACATTCCGCGCGACGACAAAGTAATGTGAATCTCTCAAGAGATGATCCGTTTAATCTCTTTAGCCCTGAAGTGAAGCAAGCTGTGGGGCGCCAAACGACTCATGAGAGTGATGAGAGTACGGTCACGCATGCGAAATACTGTAGATCGAACTGAAACCGAAACCATCGGTCACTGAATCGATCGGAACCGGCTGATTTCCAAGGGGTCGACACCCCCCCCCCTCCGGTCGACGCGTCGAACGCGAACGCGGTCGCCTCATCCCAGGTGGCCTGAACAGCCTGGGAGCAGCGCTGGCCCACGTGCCGTGGCGTTTTGAGACGAGGCCAAGCACCCGGAGGGGAGGGGAGGTCGACACAAGACGGGAAGGTGAGAGGCGTAATCTTCAAGACGGTGAGATGGTGACAGGAAATCAGAATACAGGAGCTATCTCGCAGTTGTATATTCAATCAGTACCTTGATCTATCTCGCAGTTGTATATTCAATCAGTACGAGTACCAGTTGAGTTCTTTTATGAGATCTTTCTCCGGGCTGCATGTTGTTGTTCATTCGCGTCCACGTGATAAGAGGGTACACCGCACCCACTCCCACAGACAGAACATGGAATCCGATGAATTAATCAGACGTGTCTCAGAAGAGAGGCACATTGGACCAGGGGTGTTCCCAGTTCCAAATGTAAGTTTAGAATGAAAACCAATCAAAAGCGAGTTCTTGGGTATATAAATCATACCCTGTCTAACAAAACACACCTTTACAAGAACGGATTTCCGGATTTACGACTCCTCATGCATCTAAGCTGCCGTCCACCCCTGCGGATCCAGCAGGCGATGGATCGAAGGGACCGGTGAACGGGTACCGGGTACGTCCCACGGTGACGGGTATCGAAGCCCGGGAAAAACACAGAATACAAGCGCCAAACCGAACGTGTGGATCCAGGAAGTGATGGCTAAATCGATCGAAGTGAGTTCCAATTCATTCTGACAAAGTTGACAAGGGATTCACTGTTATAGTACATTATGCAAGCATCAAGACGAAAAAAGTGCCCAGTCCTTTGGGCTCCTATGCTGCTTCTCACTGGCCCTCCAACAAACATGGAACTGGAACAGGTTCACTTTGATAGTGATTAGAATGGACTCTTGCATACTGTTGCAAGGTCAGAATGTTGGCTGCTTGTTTCAGGAATCTGGTCAAGATTGCGAATCCCAGCAGGGTTCAATCTTCAAGTGGGTACGGTGCGAGGGTATACAAGGTGCGGAGTGAGAATCACACTGGAAAAGGGCCGATAGAAACCCTTCGAGAAACCAATGCTTGCGAGTTGCTCGGTTTCAGCATCTGTTTGCCCCCTTCTTACACTGCATGTTTACACTACACACCTACTCCGAAATATGTAGTAAGCATCTTGCAGCCTCTAGACTGTACGAGAATCCCAGTCCGTTCTTGGCACTTTGTCACATTGCTACATGTTGGAATAGTTTCATCTTCTACCTACTGCACCACACATTCTGCACACTCCAGCAAAACCCACGCGGGCCGAAAACAACACCAACTACGAGTCCTGTAGCGCTTTCGACCACTCCCAGCGGTGAACTCTGGCCGGAACGCCCCAAGATGTCCTTTCTTAGGAACCTTTGCCACCATCTGGTGCTGCTTCAATCTCCAACAGCAAGCCCATCGAGACCACCGCCGTCCCGGGCATCCATTCGCCAGTGCTTCGCCCGGGGCCCGGGCCGGAAAGCATCCATCCTGGTCGCAGTGCGCGGGGCCCGCGGCCGTGCATTTCTGGCAGCGGTCTGCACACCTGGGAAAAGGAGTCCAGTGAGAACCTGGGGGGGTCTTCTCGGTGCGGATGAGGAGGCGAGGCGACCTGACCCTTTTGTGAGGCACTTGAAGTCAGAAACCGAGAGCGTGCCTGCCTCAATCTAAGCGGGGTGAAATGGGTGGGATGACCCTCGATCCAAGGCATGGAAGTCGGACACCTCCTGTTTTTGGGGTGGAGGAAGTATTCGCCTTCCCAGGCGCCATGCTCTTCCATGACTCTTCGTTATAGGGTCATCATGGCCATTCCCAGTGCGGAAGTGGGGATGGCGCTGGGGTGGCGCTGCTTGGGGATGACTCCAAGATATGATTCTCCCGATGGAGAGTCAAAGGAGTCAGTACTTGGACTCTCAGATGATCTGCTTAAGCTGAAGTACCTGTCCATGGTGAATCATTATCCCATTTTCTAGGCTACTTGGAACACTTATATAAGCGAAAAGGATGGACCTTGCTATTGTGTGTCAGAGACAAAAACCCACACTTAACACATGAGGTATGCAAGTTGAATGTTCGTCCAAGGCAGGACAATACTGCTGCCAAAAAAAGGACTGTCAGTTCGTAATGATCGGATAACCAAAAAGGACTGAAAGCACCCCGACGCAAACTTGCAAGGAATCTACCTTACTAGCGGCCTCTCGATCATGTTATTTAAACCAATCCGCCAGCCGAAGCGCGGTGTGTTTTGTATGTTGCTAGTGGGTACCGCGGCTTGGCTGTAGGATGCTCGCTCCCCTATGCCTCTTCCTCTTCTTCTTCCTCTTCTTCTTCTTCTTCTTCTTATTCTTCTTCTTCTTCAATCTGCCTCTTTGGACGGTCGGCCTTTCACGTCATTTTGACCCGGAGATGCAAATAAGACACGAATCGAACCTTTTACGCAGATCCCGAACAGCTTGTTCGACCGTAAACTCAAGCATTTGCTTTCATGTTCGTGTCATGTTCGTGTCATTTGCTGCCATTTCCATGAAATGTCCACGGCCTTCGTTCCGGTTCATTTACTGTCCTTTCATGTGCTTTCTCCACTGTCCTCTTCTCCTCCCTTTCCTCCAAAGAAAGAACGTATTAACATTGGACTCGCTGCTGTCGGACACTGAAACTGATCATATTATAAAACATTATACTACCATTACTTTACCCATCGACAGGACACCCCGTCAGATTCAAGCCTCTACCTACAAATGAATCAAGGACGAAGCCGTCGCAATCCAAAGGCACGGTTCGCACTGGTGCTCCCGCAAGACGAAGCCATCGCTACCTTGTGCGTCGTGCAATGTGCAAGGTGAGGGATTCCGGAGCGACTCAGCGACTCGTTGCTGAAAGCAGTACTGTTTGGGGAGCGGGTGAAGAGTCCTTCACTGCATCCTGTTCTGTAGACCAGTACATGTGTGTATGTATTTTAGTTTGTGTTCATATATGTATGCTATACATATATATATATATAAGTGTGTTGCCAACAGGTTGGCAAGTACTTTTTACCAGCAGTGACTTGTCATGGTGGAAGGTTGGCGGAGATGTACATGTGTGGGGATCTCCAGGGTATGTGACAAAAGATTCACAAGACCAAGGACCATGGGAAGCTTGCATTCTGGCTCTTAGTATGTCACAGTGCATCCAAGGGTATGGGACGGTGTGGGATTTATTGCATCACCGCGAGCTTGGGGTGCTACCTGCTTCGTCAGAGTCGAGTAGGAGTTGAGAGGATGAATCCGTGTGTGTAATGCCTTTTGTTGGGCCAAAAATCATGCCCGTGAACAGCATTGGAAAGCCAAGACGCTCGACTACCAGTCCAAGCTGGGAGTACTGTATCAGAGGTTGATAGACCAAGCTGACCACTTTCCGAAGGAAGCCGTCGTGAACCTACCAGTTTCAGGCCCATCCCAGTGGGACGGTGTATTTTCACAAATCCGTCTGGGAATGGTATGGAAATGTCGCAACACCCCACAACACCCCGCAGGTTGAGCGTTGATCGCATCACAAGGGCCATGCTGAACATCAATCAAAGCTAGGTTGCATCGTAGGCAGCTGCCAGCGAGCCTGCAACTGGTACATCCTGCCGAGTTTTCTGCAACTCAGCAGAGCGGTTGGAGGTTCAGGACCTGAAACTTCGGAAAGATGGTGGGACAAAACTCCGCCTCAACTGCTGACACCCCGCAGTCGAGTGACGGTCGTTCTACACCGGACCTACCGTTCGTACATTCCGCAGCTAAGCAGCGAACCGTTCGCTTGTTGGAGTGAAGCATCAGGTCGGACGTGAAGCAGACCCACTCACCAACAGCTCCCGATCCCCCAATCCACTCCCAAGGAAAACATTCGGACGTGGATGACATAGGCCCCGAAAAAAGCAGAGCATGTTGCTCAGCAAAACAGGGGAGTTGTCCACATCCATGTGTAGGTGAGTGGGAGTGAAGCAGTGGAGATCTGAATCACTTGGAAGTGAGTGACACCCCTCTGAGATCGCAGAACTGGTCCACTCACCCGAATTGAGTGAAACAATGGTTGTTTGGTGCGTTTGGATTTTGACTGGTCCAAATCCACATGTAACCTCTTGGAACTGAGAGCCATTTTCTAAAAACGGCTATATGGTCTGTGCAGTTGATCACACCCTTCCGCATTGGCCCAGCAGGGTCTCCGAAGGGCCGGGCTGAGCACCGCTTCGCGAACAAGCGAGACTGGTGGTTTGACCGCATTCGTTTCAGGGCCAAATTGGTCAAAGGTTTCAACCAATAAAAGCATCAATATACGGAACTTTAGCTCTGACGTAATTAGCAATTCTCAATCACGTCGCCCAAATCAACCACCTGATGTTGGAATACTTAACGCTTTACCACCCGCAGTGGCTTCACCCCGTACCCTTCAGACGAGGACCCCTACCTTTGATGGACAGGCTGTGTGACATGGTGTGACTAGCGTCTGCCCCACGAGTCAGGCGAGCAGGTGTGGTACTTAAATGATCTGCTCTGATTCTTCTTTTCTCCTTCAGCATTTGGAGATCTTTCGAGGCAGTTCGCCGCCAGGAGGCAAAGGGGCAGGATACCTAGGACTTCCATGACGTCTCACCATCCAACACCCATCGTGTCCGCGCTTCCCCGTTTCGCCCTCTCCTAGGCCACAGCGAAAGCAACCCCCGCTGGTCGTGACGCCGAAGTCCTGCGACGTGTTTGGCTTTCGAAGTGACGTGTGGGGGGGGAAACCGGGACCCCATGGGACCCCTGTTTTGTGGGAAGTTGATTGATACGAAGTTCCCCGCCCTGGCTACCATCCTTTTGGAGAAAAGAGGGAGCACGAAAAAATGATGGATGATGGATGACTATGGATGACTTCGAAGATCGCAGGGGGATGACTTCCAAAACGATCCCATCTGGCGACCTCTGGGTCTCCATCTGGCTACCCGGCCACCGGGCGAGGTCCCGAGACGTCCAACGAAGCCACCAGGAGCTCGAAACGAACACTGGGTTTGACTCGTCCAGATGGAAATGCGGCACAGGTGCATTCGTTTGGAGTGGACAAAAGATCGGACCATCAGGGAGTTCCTTCAACTGATTGAGGCTTGCGTTTCAAAGGCGGCCACAGTGTTGTTCAAAACGAAGACGGCCGATTCAATCCTCCGTATCTACAGTGTTCCGGGTGGTTGGAGACGGTGGTCTGCATGGATTGTGGCTTTTGGTCGATCCCTGAAATGTCCCGCAAAACTGCTGGGGCAGCCTTCCAGTTCTAACCCAACCAGGCAGCACCAGCACTGCCGTCCTCACTGCACTCGGTGCCTGAGCGTGCCAGAGCGTGCCGGCGATCGTGCGGCGAGCATGGTGAACCATGCTTGCATGGATTGCAGAGAATCGCCAAACAAACTTAAGGTGTGAGAATATGCCTGATGCCCAAAAAAGAACAATACATTGTCCATGAATTTCTATGACTTTACTCTGCCGGCACCTAGACCTAAACAGGACATCGAAGTACTTATATAACTACTTAAATGGTCACAGAGTACGATTCTTCAAAGGGTACAAGTACCAGTTGTTTGGAAACACTCGTCCGTTGGATATGACACTATACAAAACTTCGATGAAAAATGGTCGTGGGATCACTACTTCCCCCTGTCCATCGGAAAAACTTCCCCCCACCGAATCCCCTCCAACAGCGACAGGGTGGCGAAGAAGCTCAAACCCTCCACAAAGGAGGTGGGGGTATCTCGGTATCTCACCAGCTCCCTCAAACAAATCATGGCTACAAGTATGTGGATGGAAAACGGCCCCGAGTTCGGATGGCCATGAGTCTTCCGAAGACCAAACAGGTGGTGCCATCCACGTCCATGATGTGCTAACATTCGCCGTCAGCGAACAAACAATCCCCGGAAGCCTACTGGATGAAAGGGCCCCAAGATCCTGGCCACACAGCGGCCATGCTGCCAGATCTAAATGCAACTCAACCCCTCTTTGACAACGCCAAGTGGGGCTAGCAAACCCCAATCAACAGAAACCCTGAGAGTGAAGAGAATGCAACCTAGAATCATGCCACCACAATTTACACGTTTGCATTCCCAGTCAAGCTTCTTTCACCTCCAGAACCCTGGAAAGGCTTACAGTAGGAGCGTATATCTACCAGAACCCCCCTGCGATCCACCCGGGCTCTTGATATGAGCACCAGCCAGTGTGGATCCTGGCCGCTCTTGGTACATTGGTCAAGAAGATGTGTCTACACCGGTCACCAATCCATGGATTTCAAATGATTTCATGGTTTGGGAAGGACTTTGTCAGGTCACCCTACCAACCAGGGTCCTTTTTGCTTCGCATCAAATTCGCCTGGAGTTTCGATGGATTCTGTGATCAAGGCGCAGAAGTGTGCATTGTGATCGCAGCTGACGCAATGCTGCACGCGGCACGCTTCGCATTCGGGCCGAATGAGGAAGCCCCAGTGCCTCCGAACGGCAGGCGGGGGGCGGAGAAAGCCTCGGAGTGTTCGCGGCCTTTTCAGGGCCCACCTAGTCCGAAAACCTCAAACCTTCCAAAGCAGAGGTGAAAAAGGACCTCTCTACCGTCCTGAGGACTATGTGGTACCTGGAAAACCACCACAGTCCATCCAGTGCTCCGTCGTGCTTGGTGGCTCCGAGCGTGCCAAGTCCGGAGACGGAACAAGCGAAGTTCGTTCGGCTGTCCGAGCGAAAAGACGAAGTAAAAAAGATGCTTTTGGCCGCAGCCTGGGCAGTTGCTTTCACGTGCGTGTAAGATCCTATATAAGTCATGAAGCTTAAATGAGAACTTGAAAAGTGTGTCTAGGAGCAAGGAGCTACTAGGGGGTCCTGGCATCGCTACTAGGAGCAAGGACGCTACTGGGGCTCCTGGCCGTACTACTAGGAGGGAGCAAGAAGCTACTGGGGATGTCATCAAGGCCGGCTTGGGAAAACTCACCACAATGAGACTGGACCGATGAGCGGAAAGCTCCCTTCAGTCCGGTGCCTCTTCTGCCATCCAAAGCCCGGAAAGCAACCACCAAACTCGCAGTAGTCCTTGGGTTTGCTGGGGACACATCGTATACAGTCTTACAGTCGATGTGGATCAGTCGAATGATTTTGCGTCCGGGACCGGTCGATTTGACTCGAAGGTTCGACTGCACGAAGTGACGGGGAAAGGTCTTCACTTTGGATTCAACGGTCATCCCCCATTGCCAGTTCTGCTTACCAAGAACGGCCCACTTAGAGTTGTCATGTTATCCCAGCAGTTCAAGAATGATAAATACTTGGCGTTGTGGGTGAGGTGTAACATTGGATGAAACGAACAAGGCGGAGTCTTGAGCAGGGCTAATGTGGCTTTAATGCACTAATTAAGTACTTCATGGCAAGTCTTCCGTTTTACCCTTTGGCCCACCTTTGGCAATGTGCTTTGCAGTTGCCTGTGAGGCAGCAAGGCACTACATACATGAGCTTGTGTTGTTCGAGACTGCAATGGGACAAAACACCCTCAGATGCCCAGAAGGAAGGAAGGAAGTGGCCGCTTTTCTTCTTACCTCGCCTTACAACATCGGAGTGGCCGCTGTCGAATGGACTCGTGTCCAGTTTCGGACGGTTTTGCCAGCTTTTGCCTCTTTTTAAACAGCTTTTCAGGGAAGAAACTTGACCACGTGAGCTGGCATAAGTGTCCCCATGAGCTGGCATACTTGTCGTGCTGTCGGACTACTCCCAGCCAGATACTACATCCATCCATCATGCTCAGTGGTCTGATGAAATCTGATCAACATGGTCAGGTTCTAATTGAATCTTAATTATGTCTTATGTTTAATCTAATTCTATCTATATAATTCTAGTGAATTCTTGTTTCTAATAGCTTCTTGTTCCTAGTAGTACGGCCAGGAGCCCCTAGTAGCGTCTTTGCTACTACATCTCTGTCCTTCGGGGCATTGGACCCATAGCGTCCTGTTTTCCTCGCTTTGGCGCACCTCGCGCCGCTGACGTCGACGTCGAGGTGCATCGGCATCACAGGTTCGGCAGTTGGGGCGACAGGCCTTCGCAAATCGGCCCGGCTTCGCGAGAAGCTTGAAATCCCCGACGATGGTCGGAGCGCGGGAAGCGGAGAAAAACTGCCCGCTGCGAAGTGTGATCAACTCTCTTCTGGGCCGCAGTGCAATCCTCTGTGGCTCTCTGGAAGAATTGGGACTGGCAAGAAATTGATAGATCCCCAAAAAACAAAGATTCACACCCATGAATGGCAAGCAATCCACCTATTACCCAAGGAAAGCATTCAGAGATGGATCTTGAAAAATATATGGATCTCTTCAAGTTTCATGAGTTCTGGAAGATAACGTCAAGGTGATCTTCATCACTTGTTTCCACCAGAAGTCATCCACAAAATCAACTTAGCCCCGTATCTTCATCCACAAAATTTGTCACACTTCACTGTCACTGCGCTTCATCATCCCTCTGTCACTGCGCTTTCACCCACAGACTCCAGGCCGAGATTCATTGTGGCACAGTGAAAAAAACTGAAAAAACAAATATCGTTGTGTGTTGATGTCTTGTCTCCTTGCCTTCCAGTTGGGTGTGCATGAAAATATGGAGACCTCCCAGGCAACGACCCCCTAGAAGGACAATCGACCAAAACCCATTGGACCAGGGTGTCTCCCTGTCCAAATACAAACCCATTCTTTCCCCTACAGGTTTGCCAAACTCCCAACCTGCAGGCCAAGCCTTGCACTGGCCTTTCGCCGTAAGCCTGAAGCCCTCCTGCTCGCGCGATCCGAAGCGCGAGGCCGTGTGTTTCGCCCAGCGCGAGGGCCGTGGCCTTCCACCCCGCTCCTGGCACTGCGAGCACACGTTCTTTTGGCTGCAAGAGAGACAGCCTGGTCCACACAGAGCGCAGGTCACATTCTCGCCGAAGTCCTGCCGTGCGCCGTACATCCACGCCGGACGCCGGACGGACGGCCCAAGCTCGGTCGACGCGTACGGGCCCAAGCGCCGGGTGAGGACCGGGTGGGGAGATCTGGAAGAGCGACGAAGCAGGTGAGGACCGGAAAAAATGGTAAGAAATTGGCATCAAGCCAAGACTCGAGGACCCCCATGCGGAGCGGACTGAATGTCGAGTCCATAGAACTGACTGCAAGTGGAGCAGGCTGACGGAGTGCGAGGCTCGTCAGTGATTGTTCACTGGAGCTATTGAGGCCTTGCTTGTTCAATGAGGCCGTGTGAGGCCTGGAGGAAAGGTTGGTGACTCGAGTCTGGTCTCTGTGGTTGACTGGAGCTCATAAAGCAGACTGCATGAACATCTGTTGCAATCGAAGTGCGAGGCCCGGAGAAACAGCTCCCCAACGCTTCCGGTCAAACGCGCAGGGGAAGGCCAGAACGAAGCCGCTTGCACAGGCGGTGCAGCCTGAACCTCCCTCACAGTGGAGACCTCAGAAGGCCAAAAAGCCGAGGTCTACTCCTTTGACTAATCGAAATGTTAATTAGGACCCAGTTAAAGTATGTTAAAGTAGTTAATAAATACAAATATCCCTCCCTTCCAGTGAGCACTGCCCCTCCCGCCTAGTGAACCCTTGCAAGTCTGCACCAGCCTATGACGGGATTAGGGAGGGGGACGGCATGGTGTATCGGGTCCAGCCCACAAACCTAGACTGTATCTTGTTATGAAGATGTCAATATATGGGTTGGCTTCCGGTCGCAACTCACCACCCGGTCGCCATCGCCTCACCCGGTCGCCCTCGGCGGTCGCGAATCACCGTCGCGTTGGATCGGCCGCTCCCAACGTTGGTCGGTTCGAACCGGATCGAGGGGCAGTTCTCATCCTCGCAGCGTTGGCAATGGCCATGAAGGTCCAGGCCATAGAAGGGATCGCACGTGTGGCCTTGGTTGGTGTTGGGGCGAAGGGGATCTGGAAGACTCGGAGATGTAGTGGAAATGGTTGTAATATGTTGTAATTAACTCTCAGGCACAGTAGTTCAGGTCACAACTACAGCCACTCCTACACCCTGAAATCAGCGGTTGATAGAATGTGTGATATGTGTATGAGACTGGAGGTTTTTTTTGGTGCCCAGAACATGGCCATAGCGTGGTGCCCAACCCAACTTGAAAAGAAAAGTGGACGTTCAACCCCCGAAGCCTGATGAAATGAAGTGGTGTTACAAGCCAAATGAGCGGGGGCTACCAATTAAGAGGTCTACATTGTATGGTTGAGCTCAAAGGGGTCCACAGAATGTTGGCTTTGGATCAGATTTGCGAAACTGGATGCATGACCCAAGCAATCCAGAATCTGCGGATTCAGTGTGAGTGAAATTGAAAGGACAACATGGATTCCCTTCGATCCTGCTCTACCTGCAGATTACGCCACACACACCGATCCCGCTCGACCTGCAGCTTCGACCCTGCGGTTCGTTCTTCCGAGGCTGGGGGATCAGCGAAGCAGGTTGGTACTGCTCTGAACCCGCGGACCGTTCAGGCTCCAAAAGGTCTTCGGGTTGGTCTTCCGTCACTTTGTTCCTACCAGTTGCCTGCAAAAGAGGTCACTTGATGGCCTTTGAACATGATCAAGAAACAAAGACCTAGAAGTAGGATTGTAGGGCAAAAAAACGGCTCCTGTTTCAATGGAATTCTGGGCCAATCATATCAACCATCTTTCTCTTCCTGTAGGCAAAAAAAATACTACAACAATACTAGGAGCGCTCTCCACACGTCTTTGTGTTAAAAACCATTCAAGGAAGGACCCTGTTCTTTCCGCAAAAACCCACCACTCGCATGGCAAAAGATGTAAAAAAATAAATAAATCTCCCAAGGCGCATGGCAAGGCGCTGGGTGGGATCGCCTCGTTGCGGCCGAGATTGAGATCCACGAGGAGGGCTTCGTGGGCTTCGTGCGTGCTTTGTTGCAAGAAGCACGACCAGATGCAGCCAGGACCCGCTGTGTCCTATCCTTTTTGGTTGCCGCCCCCAAGCTACTAGTCTACTGTGCCTCCCAAAAGCCCTGAGAGCAAGCCCAAATACACCATAAGGGGCCATTGACCCAAAAACACGGGCAGCGTTCCCAAAAACACGGTCGCGCCAAAGTGGAACACTCCACTCGTGTGTCTCCGGTCGAGACAATGTTCATCTGGATCACCACCGAGTCAAATGAACGACCAGCACCCCAAGAGGTTTCTTAGGCGGTGCAGGATTTCTCAATGGAGTTGGCTGACAAGGAAGATTCCAGAGATTTCTCTGGATCCATTCGGAGTCAAACTATCCAGAATGTGTTATGTGAAGAAGCTACACGAGGCTCGGATCTGGCTCACGGCATCTCAACTGCAGGAAGAATTCCAAACAAGAAGAGAGTCGAGAAAACTTTCCCCCCACTCTGCAGTCTCCTCCCTTTTCCAGCGCACCAAGCGTCTCCCTGTACTGGTCCATCGCAGCTCTGGCAGTTGTCGGAGCTGCATGGCACGCAGATCTGCTTGGAGGCATAGGGCACCAGACCAAACTTGGCCTCCAGACTACACACGACTACACACGACTCACCGAAAAAACCGAAAAAACACCGAGGTCTTGGTTTCTTCACCACTCGGAAAAAAAACACTTGCCCCTATCAAGTTGGTGATTCCCAAGACGTTTTATTTTCAGATGGATGTGGCTGTGGATCACGGCGGACCGAACTGCTTGACCGAAGGTCTTGGTCGTTCGTGGTGGACCGGTCGAGCCTTGACCGACTCCACTGCTCCCGCACTGGCTCAATTCTAAGATGTGACCTCTTGATGAGGGGTAAGGGGTGTCTTCTTTCAGAAACTGATCGCTGAATGGAGTGTTAGGAATGCCATCTGTGAACCTTGCTTTATCCACTGAAATGTTGTTTGTGCCCGGTGAATGGAAGCCTGTGGGACGGAAAAAAATTATGATTTCCACTATCACTGCTCCACCAAGAATGCAGCCGTTGCTGTGCTTCTCCCTTGGCACCACGCCCCCCACCTACCGGGCGCGCAAAATCAGGCAACCGAAATCAATTAGTTCACTCCACCTCTATGCGTCTATGGCCCTTTCACGGAGCATGATGAATGCAAGGAACTGATGTCAGGTGCAGACTGGCAAGGCCATGCGTCAGGCGTCTGCTAGTGCTCTTTCACCACACCTTTTTTCCCACGCACACACGCACCTTACTCAGTGGATTGGGGGTGAACCTGCTTGTTGGGCCAAAGTCGCCAGGTGTGGTTCATGGTCTCATGGTTTCAGACCAGCCCAGGACAATGACGATCTGCTCTTTGCCATGACAAGTAAGCATGCTCTCCTTGACTGGGTGGTGAACCTGCCTCACGTTGCGAACATGTTTATCACCTTGCGTCTATTGTCACAGCTTCCAAGCAAGGAGAGTGTACTTGGATACCTTATTCATGTCATAGCCTCCCACACCGCACCGTCTCCGTCTCCTCTCCAACCCGCGACGCACCGTGTCGTGCCAGCCTTGCATTTGGTGCACTGCGAGGTGCCATGTGGACAGCGCAAGCAACCTGCGAGAGAAACAAACGCTTTGGAGAGGCTTCTCCTCCTGCACCCGGTCGCCGGACTTCTGAGGATTCAATTTCTAGGGTGCTTTGGTTAAAACATTGTTCTAAGCGGATCTAAACCATTCTAAACCTCATCCAAAACGTATCCAGCCACAGACCACAGGTTAAAATGGTTTACCTATCGCGAATCCCATCTGAACGGATTTATATAAATAAATTGTATGTATATAATATATATATATATGGCTTCAAGAGATCTACACGTTCCGCACGCTGATTTTTAGCAACTCAGCCCGTGCCCTCTGCAATATAGAAGGCTTACCCCACTCGACACTCCCCCAAACCTACACCACCAAGGGATGGTGCCCGTATAGGGCTACGCCAGAATGCGCGGCACGCAACAGTGCCAGGTAACTTGACCATGCCATTGGTAGGACCGTCAGCCCGACATAGCGCTTCTCTGAGCCTGGAAGTCCAACATCTGATTCACGAACCGCCCGTTCCAAAACGAGGTACTCTGCCCATGCTTCTGGCAACTTAAACAAGCAGAAGGGCGCCGACAGATCTTCACATACCAACAAATCCTCCCCCGTTTCTGCAATAAGGCGTTGCGGGGTTGTGGCCTCTGTCACATCCTGTGAGCCTGCTTGAATCTGCCTCAGATCGAAAATGGCTGCCCTTATACCCAGGACCACTCCTGTGGCAAGACCTGCAAAAGACCAATGATGCATCCATGACCTGGAGATGGGAGGCCAGGCAGTATCTGGTCCAACGTGACATCCAAAGCTTTCATCGTCACTTCATTACCGGGAGTGGCTTGCAGTCCATCCAACGGCGGCTGCACACGCGGGACTCCTCTTCGCCCCTTTCGTCAACAAAGACTTCAAGAAACTTCCAGATCCTATGCAAAACCTCCTCCCACCAGGGGATCGTCCGCATGAAACCAGTTCCCACACATCAAGTTGAGACAGCACACTATGAGGCCATGCCACAAACACAGGCCTTCGTCCGCGTATCGCCTCTCATCCTCCAGTCAGCGGGACCTTCTCTGACCACCCAATCAAACCAAAGTGGGAGAGGAAACAGTTCTCCCGACGAACCTGAACCGGTGAAAAACCTGTTGGAACATCTTCATGCAAAGCCTCAACGAACTCATATGGCAACTCGTCCAAGGCTTCCTCAAAACCTGGGGGGAAGTCCGGAAGGCACCCTCCTCCTCTCCTATTTCTTTGCCGTTCTTTCTCATACTCCTTTCCATCTCTTCTGCCACAAAGTCGCCTTGATCTTCATGACTTGGCTTCCTTCCCATTCTCGATCCGGATCTCCGGGACGAGTCATGCCCATCAGCTCGCTTTGAAGTGCGATGTCCTTTAGCCTCCGAAGGAACCTGACCACCCCGGGTTGACCTTGCAAAGCAGCTACATCAGCTGGATCATCTTTCCTGCGACCTCCGCACCGGGGGCTCACAGGTCTTCCGTTTTTGCCTCAAGAGCTCACCAAAGGACTTCGCAGGCACACGCAGTTTGGGTGTTGACTTGGACACGGCTTCCCCAGTTTCCAGGGCAGCATTCCTAATATTGGCATAATCCTTCAACTTTCTCCCTGGTGCGCCTCTCATAGCTTCCTTCTTGGACACCTTCTCTGATCTCTCTAGAGGGGGCTCCAGATGCTCCTCGAACAAGCGTTTCCTGGGCAGCCCTGACAAAGGCCCTGCCCTGGCGCGGTGGATCTTTGGCGCTTGAACTTTGAACTAAGAATTGCCGACCTGAGAAACTTCTCATCCTCATCAACCTCATCCTGAGCACCTGCACCCCGGCGGGGGGCTGCAGGGCCACTAATTCGGCCGCCTTCTGAAGCAGTGCCTTACCCCAACAGATCGCCACTGGCCGGACATGGGTCAGGGATGCCAGCCAGAGAGGACATGTGACCTTCCAGGCCCCAGAACCCTTTTATCACCACGATTCAACCTGATTGAGCAAGTGGCAGGCCATCACAAAAGTGGAAACACACACATAATGGGCGTAGCCGGGATCTGAACCTCCTTCATGAACACCCTCAAGGATGCATGAGTTGCGATCTTCCCAGTTTGTCACGCGAGCCACACATTTACCTTTGGGATCGCTGGCATTGTCCTTACACTCATACCTCTCATGAAGCATCCTCCTCGCTAGCTCAGGTGACGGATGCCCATCTTTTTCCCGTGCTATACGAGATTCACCCTTTGTCCTCTCGTGGCATTCTCGTTGAGGAGCACTGTCTCCACCTGATCAGGTGCCAAGCTCAGGCTGGCACCTAGATCCATGAGCGCCTCCGCAGCGGACATGGCGCTCACCGACCTCCCCAGTCAGCACCCTGAGGTCCCTGACTGGGGGAGGGTGCCACGTTCCCACCTGAGCCGAGAACTCCACAGCGGTCTTTTTCACGCATAAACCTGCATATGCAGTACTCATATATAGATAGACATAGATAGATAGATGTGGATGACAGCCGAAACTTCACAGCCCAAGATGACCATCCTCTCACTGTCTTGGCACCTGCTAGGTCATGCCAGGTCTATGCTGTCGCTTGGCGAGCTCCCAGTGCTATCCAGCTCAGGAAACACACATAAAAAGGCACCCGGAAGCTGCCTTCAGGGCAGGGATGGCAAGTGGAGTCCTTGTCTTTCCGGAAGCCCTCCTGGAAAGGAATCACCAAGAAGCATGACAAGTGGGCGATTCTTTACGGAGCTTGGTCAACAGTGGTATGTCCTACCCCCATGCCAATACCACTGGCAGCTCATCAGAGATATGACGTGTTCAAACAACATGTGAGCTTCTCCACCGGGACAGGAACCACAAGCAATGCAGCCACAAAGATATATGGATCATGGAACCCCAGCGCTTCTCAAGGGCGTCATATGCTTTGCAGAAATCGGCATCTTCGACTCCCAAAACGAAGACATACACTCCTTCCAGCCGTTCCGGGACGCTTCCCACTCCCAGAAGAACGGCACTGCTGTCCGTTCGCAAGTGAGTTGGTCCCATAATTCCCCAAACACCACTTTTGATGCTATCCTGCTTTCTTCCAGACTAGATACTTTCACACATGGGGGTGTGTTCTTGCTACGTTCTCCGACCGAGCGTTGCGCGAGCGTTCTCCCGAACCGGTGCAGCCGCGTATGCCCCCTGCATGGGGAGCGGTGTGTGTCGGCGCCTGGCACCGGCGACATTGGCCTTGTCGATCACAGATCTCGCAGTGAGGTGGGCACCTGCAGCTGAGACCATGAAAAAATACACCAACAAAGGCGATGAGAATCTGATGGCGATCCAAAGGATTTGGGGCTCCAGACTTCGAACCTCAGGAAACCCTTAAGGACATCATTCATGTGGATTGATGTGCACTTGATCTATCTACTTGAGTTACTTGCGTCATGTCATCCTGGGCCCGCAAATGCCCCAATGCTGCTCCTCTCCTCTGAGCTTCTTATCACACACAGCCAAGAAGAGACGGGGAGAGGATGGGAGACTGGGAGGCTTTGCAAAAACGGTAAGACATGGACTGGCAAGGACGCTATTAGGTGGAGGCCATCGCAAGTAGGTTGAAGGCCATTGCTACTAGTAACAAGAAGCTACGAACGGGGCTCCTGGCATCGCTACGAACGGAGCAAGGACGCTACGATCGGGGCTCCTGGCCTTGCTACTAGTAACAAGCTACTAACGGCTAGCGTAGCAGACTTGTCCACTCGGTCTCATGGTCTCATCCACTCGAATCCGACCAGCCCAGCGCCAGGTCAGCCTCTTGCCATGCAGCACATTGGACACTGCGGGCTTTGGGCTCAAGGCACCTGGCTATCGTTGTGTTTCAGTTCGTGCGAGAAGGGAGTTCTGAAGGGTTCGTCAGAGTTCAGAAGGCTGTGGCGTGGCTAAAAATTCAGAAACGACAGTTTTGAGCCAGCTCACCACTACTCTGAGTTTGGGTTGCTTAACACATGTATTCTCAAAGTATTTTTCTTGGGATTGTGGCTACAGGGTCCCAACCAAGCCAGGACACTACTTGGGAAAAAAAAAAAAAGAACAATGACTTCACCATGTCCGAGCACATCCAACACTCCCACAAACGAGCAGCTCCCTTTATTGAGGGTTTCTCAACACTCCCACCAATCCCCCAAATCTCCCCACCCGCCAGTGGGCACGATGCAGGTCTGCCCGCCGTTTCGCACCCCACCCAGTGGGGAAACCTCCCACCAGCGCCGCGTTCGCACCGCGCGCGTTCGCCCCGCGCAGCGCCTGTAACTCGGTTCCGGGCGATGGCATAGATCGCCACCTCCTGGAGATGAACCAGGTTCGTTTGCGCCATGGGGCGGTGGGGCATGAACAGCCGTGGCGACCTTGGGGTCGAAAAAAGGAGACTCAGCAGATGTGGAGATGCTGGCAGATTTCTTAGAGTTGGAGTCACTGTCTTTCTCTATCTGGTCCAAGAATGCCCGCACCTTTAGCTGGAAAGGTGATAAAAGTTCTAGAAGAAAAAACCTGCAACAGACTGGAAGAAATCAAGCGACCCCTACAAATTCCCCCTTCTTCCTTTGCATCCTTTCCTTTCCGCCTCAAAAACCTCCCATGGATCGTTTCTGCCCTCCGGACGGTGCTGTTCCATTCATCCTCCCTACCTCTTCGCTGCGAACTACGGGTCCGGCAGGCTTTGGGTGATGTAGTTCGATGGTGGTAGGCGTGAGTTCGAAGGACGGTCGTGTTTGGGAGACAACGTCATTGAAATACAGGATACGATGTTCAGTAGATCACAGTAGTATATCAGTTTCACCTCTGCCAATTCACGCGGCACAAAGCCAGGGCTCTCTTTGCAGGTGGTACCCGAAACCGCTCCGGTGGGCAGATGTTCTTTCAGTTGGGGCCGCCTTTTTCAGGACGGTCAGGCCTGAAGAAGGTCGCACGTGCGGCAGAACACAGCACGGCACGTGCGGTCCGGCACCATTGTTCGAAGAAGAACGGCATCACGTGGCTTGGAGCTCTTCAACAACCACTGGAAGAACCGAGTGGCTTCCCCGTAAAAACCTCAGAAATCACCCCCCATGAGGATCTCTTACCCCTCACTCCTTCAGCTCACCGACACCCCGCCCGATCGCACCTCAAACCAGGGGAACGGATGGACTTGGATCTCTGCCACATAGGCGAAGGTGCGGTGGTACAGCCTAAGACGACGGACAACCAGCGTCTTCACGGGGGGAGGGCCCAAACACATCGGGCAGGCTGCAGAGTCGGTCACCAGAGTCGGTCACTTGGGCCTCTTCAACACGCGGGCGATCTCTTCAATTCGCCCGGTCGCGAGAGAACCCTTCGCCGCAAAGTACAGCACCCCGAAGGGTGGGCGCTCACTCGCCTATTCATCGACTTCGTGCCGCCATTGCGGCAGTTTTGCAGTCTTCCAGTGGACGGTGTCCAAAGCTAGAACCATACTGAATTGTTCACAAAGCCCTCGCTTCTGAGCCGCTGGTAGTGGCTTTGCGGCACACCTTCCATCTTCCGTCCTCTGGGCGCTCCGTTGGCATCTGGCCCCGGTCAAACAAACCCTACCAAGACTCATCAAGCATAACACGTGTTCCTGGGATCTTTCTAAGTTGCGTCATTTTCTTTCGTGCACCCCCAAAAACTTCTACAAGGAGTCTTGCTTTAACTCCACTCACACATTCGAGTAAAGTGACAAGAAATCAGAAAACAAGCACCTGACACTTGGAGAAGTCCCTGTCCCTCTCGCCCTCGCGTGGCATTTATCGAAATATCCACTGTCAGGCCACCCGATGCCCAGGGTCTCATCGTTGAGCTTCCCGAGCACGGTGTCGATGTCTTGGGCCTCCGGAGATGGCCACCAGAAACCCACCAGATGAGAAGGCCAAGAACCCACCAGCTGAGGTCATGAACCACCAAGATTAAGACGGAGAAGAAAGAAAACCATGTTCTTTGTGAGGACTACGTAGTGACGTAGTGGTGTGATAAAGATGCTGAAGAAAACGAGAAGGAGTCAGAAGGAGGGAGAAACCGAGGGACAGGGACACCAACATCTTGGTCGCAAAGAAAGACTATTCGAACATTGTGGAACCAAACAAGTTTCACATGACATGTCAAAGACTCATCCTCACCTTCCCAACTTCCACGAAAATTCAGGCAACATGGAAAGGCATAAAACAACCCAGGAGTTTTGCTGAACAAACAGGGTTCACAGGGTCAGCTACCGTTGGAGATGTTAAGAGAAAAAGGCTGCCAAGCAACCTTTTGTTGCATCATCCCAAAAAGAACCCACTTCATCAGTCGCACGTGCGCGTTGGGATGCCCTTTCCTCGTAGCCATGACGACTCATCCAGGGCCACAACTCCAAGGGCTTCGCTTCCACATGTCCTGCCCGAGTGAGCCAGTTCTTGCACTGAGACAGGAACCCGTCGACGCAGACCCAATGAAAAAATCAATGAAATTCACCAACTCAGGGACACTTTCCTTTGAATCCTTCAATTCGCGATTCGCGGATTTGCCCAAGCCGGACTTTTCCCCATCCTGCGAGCAAGGCCTTGGAGCCATCACTGGTACCTTGACATCAAACAGATCGGAGCTCCAAAGCAAAAACCGCATAAAAATCGCGACAACGGATGAGGGATGGGGAGGCGCCCTTCAGCGTGGTTCTCAGAAACAAATGATGCAAAACACCGGCGCAACACAAAATAGATCCACAACGAATTATATATACACTATATGCGCAAATGTGCGACACGCTGGCAGACAAGCATTCAAGTTCAATTTGTACAAAGGTTAGCCTTCGCAAATTGAAGACTAACCATACAAGGAAGAACCCCACAAGCGTGTCTGTGCAATAGAGACAGGAGCATCCAAACAAACTGTCCAGCCGCGCCACGCCCCTCTCGAATCTGAAGGCTCGTTGGCATTGCCTTGTGGCTGGGAGAAGCAACCCAATACCTCAGCCACAACATCGGACGAATCCCGGCACCCCGCACATACACGCAAACCAGTTACAAGTTATAAGCGAGTCTATGGAGTCTATGGTTCTGCTGATCGAGTTCGATCTCCCAATGCGGGCTGCATTTCCTGCCAAATGGAAAATCAGATCTACGTCTACACCGGGACTCTCTCCAACATACCCCGGCAGCAACTGTTGGTGATGTTTGAAGGACAATGCAAAGGCATGGACTTCAAGTGTTTCAAACCCTGAAGGTATGTCTGGGACATTCATTGGGACTTGCGGGCTCACGGAAGTGCAAGATGGCAACTATACACGAGCCAGAACGCAATTATGAAAGCACACAATATAATCCACGTACTGTGCTGGTGATGGTGATTTGTGATGATGGTGGTGATGATGGTGGTGGTGAAGGTGGTGATGGTGCTGAAGGTGGTGATGGTGGTGATGATGGTGGCGGTGATGATGGTGGTGGTGATGATGTAGATACGAAATCTACACTTCAAGGTCCACAAACTGCCACAAAATCTACACGTCAAGGTCCACAAAGTATTGCATCTGCCACGAAATCTGCACCTCAAAATCCACCCAGTATTGCGCCTGCCACGAAATCGGCACTCCAGGGTCCACAAAATACTGCGCCTCCTGCGAAGTCCACACGAAAAGGTCCACAAACTGCTGCGCCTGCCACGATGCTTCAAGGTTCACAAAGTGTTGCTCCTGCCACAAAAACTGCACTTTCAGGTCCAAAGTACTGCGCCTGCCACGAAGTCTGCACATCAAGATTCCCGTCGCAAACGCAGCACTTAAACGAGCCGCATGTCCAAAAGTCGCGACTCACCGCACCTGCCACAAAATCAGAGCAAGCCCAGACCAACACCATGTCCAAAGTACTGTGCCTGCCCGATCTCCTGCACCTGTCACAAAAAGTCGACTTTAGACCACCAAAGCACGAGGTTTCGCTTGCACCTGCCACGAAAAGAGCCCGAGCCACAACGAGAGCGCAGTCTCGAAGAGCACCCTCCCCAGCCCACCAGATTCTGCGAGCCTGCGCAGTCGAAATGCTCTTCGATATCTCGAGGTGGATGAATGTACTGTAAACAGCAGCGACTTTGCCACCGGCGGATGCGAGCGCCTCCGATTAGACAACCGTCCTTAACTATTGCGGTAAGAACCCCTAGTGTGGGACACACTGTTTGGTGAAAAAACAATTATATATAATAGGTGCTTACTTAATAGGCGTTTAGGATTCCTGCTCCGTCAACCTTGCCTTTGGTGTCAACTTGAAGTATCTTTTCCAACAGCCCATCTTTGCTTGCTCCCCTTCCCTCACTGAGCTCCAGACACCAACGGCCGATTGGGCCAATCTTCGGGCGCTTCTGGAGAGAGGCACGGCACACCTGGAGAGTCGCAGACCACGGCACACCCGTGCTGCGGAGGTTGGCACGGCCCGACGGCGGCGCAGCATGGAGTGAGTCAAGGCTGTTCCTTGTTGGTTGGTCAGGTTGGTCAGGATGAGAAATTAACTATAACTATAAACTTCCGAAGAATCCACAGAGTGCCCTGTTTCCGCAAGCGAAGCGAACAGCTGATGTCATGACATGGTGCAAGGGATCTTTCTGTCGAGCACATGTTTTAGTTTTACAGGCCGCTCAAACAAGACATCATCTGCCCTGAAACCCTACACTCCCCTTAGTTCGACACACATGAAGGGCTGCCCGACACGCCCTGTATTTCGTAGGGACCTCGTGACTTCGTCCTTCGCCGGCGCGTTTTCCCACCCGGATCAATGAGTCGCATCTGACATCATCGGCTTAGTGAGTCGCATTGGTGTTGTTTCGTCACCAACGAGTTCTTCAGATCATCAACAGGACCCATTCCACAACCACTGCCTTGTTGGAGGGATGACCCACTGCCTTGTCGTCATGTCCTGGGCGTTTTTGGCTCTTCTAGCTGGAGTGGAAATGGGAGCCTCGTTTTTCACCCGTCACCTGTCGGCCCGTCAGTGTCTATCCCAGTGAACTCCAAGCCACTCACACTCACAGTGTCGGCATAGCTGTTGTTGATGCTAGCCACGGATGGGCAACAGCCCGCAGGAAGAGACAATGAGGAGAACATGACCTGACAGTAATAGCTTGTGCTTTGATGCTTTGGCATGTGCTGGCTGACTGAATGCAAAGAAAACACCTCAAAACCCACTGGTTTCTCCACAACCAAACAACTGTACAACCCCATGTGCGAAGTTGAATACCATGCTAGAAAGCTCAGTGCTGCTAATGGGTCCACCACCAGAACTGGTGGTAGATGTACCCCTCTTCCCAGCCAAGTACATCTGCCCTACCCTAGACCATGGCGGATCAAAAGTAGACCCTGGTAGTACCTGTTGTTCACCCCCAGGTCAAAATAACAGATTCCTCATGGATTCCTCCAAAAAAAACCGGGAGGTCAACCAAACCCATCGCTGGGATGCCTTTTGGGTGCCTGGGTTGGGCCCGAGATCCGGTCCATCCCGGGGAGGTCGACAGCGCCATGCGAAGTCGAAACGAAAAGGATGGTGAGGTCGCCCCACGAGGATGGCTTCAACTTCAACCTTTTCATACCAGACTTCGGCCACCAAAGGTGGCCTGGCGGATTTCAGAGTTCCCAGTTCAGAAATTCGCAACAACAAAGGAGTTCCAGCATGTGACCTTCCAGTTATTTGTTTGTTTTAGGCGAGAAGGGATTGTGATGCAAAATCTGCTTCCGACCGAACAGTGGCGAGAAGCCTGGTTTGCCGAGACACAGCGGTTCCAGGGTTTCCGGACGTTCCAAACAGTCTGTCTGTTTAAAAAGAAAAGGCTGTGAAGACTTTTCCAATTTGGTTCAGGAGGGTGCAATCGTCTCCCCGGATTTTGTTCCACAGACAATAGCTTGAGCATCAAGAAACAATGAACCATGAACATAAGTGAACCACATAACTGAAAATGACTGAGCTCCAAATCGTCATCTTTTTCCTACAGTATGGCTACTCATTGGTTGATTGTCCATGAAACATGACCTCGTGCCAAACACCGGACCACGGGAAAAATGGGCATCAACGCCGACTGTTACAAAGCACGAAGCCACACCAAAAAAGGATGCAATCCACCATCATTCACCATATCACATCATCTTTTGTATGGTGAAGAGTGGCTCTTCAGGGCTTTCACACTCATCCACCCATCACCATCGACAACTCAAACCCTAACAGTCGTGGAACCGATTCCACACCTTCCAAGCCTGAAGGACGCTACTAGTAGCTATTTGCCACTAGCAGCGTCCTCGCCTCCCCCTAGTAGCGTCCTTGCTACAAGTAGTAGCGTCTAAGACCTCCCACGGTGGGCGTCGAAGGCACCACCGGCTTCTCATTGGAAACGGGGCCATAGCGCAGCAGTGTGATGGGCAGCACGTTGAAGACCTGCCAAACAAACACACCGGGCATCAAAGGAGGGAGGCAACATCTTCTTCCTCCGAACAGGTTCCAGTCCCCGAAAATTCCAACCATCCATGAATTTGATGAGGCTCTGTACCAAACAACTCTAAAATTCCAGGTCTAAACCCTCTTTTTTGTTTTTTCGGTCTTGCGAGGTGGCTACAGGGAGTCCATTTTGTCCATCCATCCCGACTGTTGGGACGATGTGGGAAGAAGCTTGCCAACGACGATCTTTTCGGATGCAAAGAAGAAGAATTGGTCCGTTTCTCTAATTTGCAGTAACAAGGGCATCGCTACTAGTAACAAGAAGCTGCTAGTAGCTCCTGGCATTTCTACTAGGAACAAGGAGCTATTAGGTTGGAGGCCATTACTACTACACATGCCCGCCACAGACCATGTTGTCTTTTTGGCGCCGTCGCCCACCCTGCAGAGGATGCTGACAGAGGCAGCCAAGACCAATGGCACCCAAAGCACCGCCAGCCGTTGTGCGAAATCCAACCTCCCGGCGGGCACAGCGAGGGAGATGGAGACTCCCCCAACAAAGAGGAGATCAGCGGATCTGAGTGGTCCTGAGCAATGGTATGTAGCTAAGCCTGGAGAAAAGAAAACAATAACCAAAGAACCTAAGAACTCATGCAGTCATGGGTACTGGCAGGCAAAAGGAGGCTTGCCATCTTGCAGTAGTGAACCCAAATGGGCGGCACCCCAGTCAATGACTGCGCTGTTGGTCACACCCCAGTCAACCAGAATAGACTACTCTATTGAAGTTGAGGTCTACACCTAGATGTTGATTAGTCAAAGCCTTGTAACTCCTCCCCTTCCCTAAAAATTGATTTGGCAGGTGGTTTAGCAGCCATAGCCCACCACACCCAATGACCAACCTCACGAACGCTCCAAGTCCCAGTCCCAGTCACTCCATGGTGGGCATGGTGGTCCTGACGATCTTGGAGAGTTGGGCCACCATGCCCACCATGCCGTCCAAAACGATCGTCGCTCACTGCCCTTCTCGAAGGGCATTCTGCCCGTCTGTGACCGGTCCCGAAACGAGCGTCTCCACCGCTGTCCAGCTCATCCGCTCATCCGATCCATCCCCGTCCAACCGAGAAAACACCCCACCTCTGGCTGCGGGTCCTTGAGGTGGGCGTCTCTGGATGTGAAATCTCCACCTGAAAGCGACGGCGACGGACCAAGGACTGACCGACCGGAGACTCCCTGAGTCTTCCTCAGCCCGGCGGGTCTTAGATGGCACCACCTGGCCATGGTCTTTGGACTTCGTCAACCAACGGACCATGCCATCCACCTTGGCCAATGAAAGACTCAGAATAAGGGGCCATTTTCTGGGGCCGGCCACTCTAAACCCTAAAGCCCTGGTGTTCTGTGGTGCCAGCCTCCGGCGACGAACCTCCACCGATCTCGTCCGAGCTCGTCGCAGCTCAAAATGGTCCGATGATCCAGAAGGTAATTCTTTCGATCTGCCTTTTATCAATGGTGATCAGAATCATAATTGAAGCATTGAGAGTAAAACCAGGTTAACCCACGATCAAACTGACGGCTTGAGTCCAGGGCTTTCTACTCCAGTGGGACTTCCACCACATCCAGCTACCAATCTCCCAGGCGTAAGACCAACTGCATCAGCCGACTGGCGCACACCAGCCACTTGCACACGCAACCGCCGACCTGACGCGTTCGCCGCAGACCTGGCCGAGGTCCCACCCCTCCCACCTTCCAAATGGTGTGCCGCTCCATGGTGCGGACGTACATGATGAACTTCACCAACCTGATTGTGACGAGATATCGTGCGTCGCCCGGGCGCGCGCTTCTTCTCCACTCATTCTCCCTCCCCCAAGAGTACCGAAACGGACCCAAAAAACGTCGGAAGAAAGAACCAAAGTGAGGGAAAAAAAACTTAAAAGCACCATCAAACCCCCCCGTCGAATTCCGGTGGTGCGAATCGAATTCCGGTGAAACCCGGAGACTCCGGAACGCTCCTCGATGGGTGAAACGAGATGCGCTCCATGTGAAACGAAGCACCGCTTTTTCGCGGTGCTTCGAAACCTGAGGAAGATCCTTGCGAACTGTTAGCCAGGAAATCTGTCTGAACAAAAGTGGTGAGTTGAGAGTTTGGTGGACATAGAAGTACTTAGAAGTGGTTCTCTTGTCACCCCACTTCACAGGAGCTTACATCCCAGAATTCTCTCTGGATCTGTGGGATAGTGTGGGTCTTGTTTCTTGTTTATCTTGTTCTTTCATCTACTCCCACCTCTGGCCCCAAAATGGGAGGAACCCGGCGAAAACCCTGCCCAACCGACCCTGCCGCAACATCGGACCTTCCGGTGGGTGCCCCCGAACCCGGCCAGATCCACAAAGGACATCCCTAGGCTCCCTGACCCATCGATTGAATAGCCTCTCTCTCTATATATATATATATATACTCTTCCCGAACGATAACCACCAGCCGTTCTACGGATTTCGCACGACCAGACAGTTGAAGGCGACCAGTTGATCAGTTTTTCAGGTCGTGCGACCGAATCGAACGAACGCTTCGGAATCCACGTCCACGTCGTCGCACCGGAATCTTCGCACCGGAAACACCGTCCTCGCCCTCGCCCCGTCCAACGAAGCCATCCATGGGCTCTTCCGATTCAGGCTTCTGGACCCCGTATGGCCAGAAGACCACCGGAACACTGAATCATGGTGCAACATCTCGCAAGAAAATAGAATCTAAAACTTGGGTTTGGATTGACAATGCCCCAAATCAACCTCCCAAAGTGGCGCGAACCTCTTGACAATAAAAGACCATGGGCCCATATTCACACAACCGAACTCCATGCTACTCGCACACACAAAAGCGCGCGCGTTCCAACGGATCGCATGAATGAACAACTGTGTGACATGTTGTCGAAGCTCAAGGTCATGAAAACGTAGTAGGTCATCCACAATGGTTCGATGGGATTTTGTCGCCCCAGGATCACTTGTCCAGAGGTCACCATCACCATCAAGGCCTGAATATACCTCGCCCGTTCGGTGGGGGAAGGCGACCACGACCACATGCGAACGAGAGCAGCTAAAGCACTCCCGGATCAGCTGGCCACTGTTTGGTTTCAGGTTTCGATCTGCCATTTGAGCAACCAACAAATACCCTTCAAGGACACCCCGATCAGCTGGTAGAAGAGAAAGACCACCCCCCTCCAACAAACATCGAAGTGAGCAATCCCAGATTTCATGGTCTTTTTGAGGGGACATGCCAACCAGTTCCTCAGGAGAGCACTGTTTACATCTCTACACGTTGGGTACATCCCATCACCAGGGCTCAGTGGATGATGAGGATGAGGATGAGGATGAGGATGAGGATGAGGATGAGGATGAGGATGAGGATGGGGATGGGGATGAGGATGAGGATGAGGATGAGGATGAGGATGAGGATGAGGATG